CTATAGAGGCTCCCTGCTTCAGCTCGCCTATAGAGGCTCCCTGCTTCAGCTCGCCTATAGAGGCTCCCTGCTTCAGTTCGCCTATAGAGAGCTCCGTGCTTCAGCTCGCCTATAAAGGATCCCTGGCCTTCAGCTCCCCTATAAAGGCTCCCTGCTTCAGCTAGCCTATAAAGGCTCCCTGCTTCAGCTAGCCTATAAAGGCTCCCTGCTTCAGCTAGCCTATAAAGGCTCCCTGGCCTTCAGCTCGCCTATAAAGGCTCCCTGGCCTTCAGCTCGCCTATAAAGGCTCCCTGGCCTTCAGCTCGCCTATAAAGGCTCCCTGGCCTTCAGCTCGCCTATAAAGGCTCCCTGGCCTTCAGCTCGGCTATAAAGGCTCCCTGGCCTTCAGCTCGCCTATAAAGCCTCCCTGCTTCAGCTCGCCTATAAAGGACCCCATCACAGTGGCTATAAAGGCTTTATCTTGCCTTCAGTTCGCCTATTATTAAATTATTATTTTTTCCCGCAGATATTCCATTGGCCAAGACAAATGGATGTTGGAAAAAGGTGTTATGTCGGGACTTAGTTTTGTTTTGGACATGTCCAATCTATCCTTTGGTCACATTACAAGGATTGGTATATCCGCTTTAAAGAAGGTTATGTACTATCTGCAAGTAAGTAGAAAACAAAATAAAAGCGGATATTTAAATAAATTTAAAATTATTTACCTCCTCTACCTAGGAAGCAATACCAGGTCGTCTGGTTGGTCTACACTTCATAAATACCAGTAAAATAATAGATAAATTAATGGCCATACTAAATCCTCTGATGAAAAAGGAACTTATGGAAATGATACATGTCCACAGCAGCATGGATAGTTTTTATAAATTTGTACCCAGGGAAATATTGCCCAGAGAATATGGTGGTTCTAGTAGGACAATAAGGGAATTATATGGTAAGAGGGATAGACTAAAAATGTCAGGAACTTTCATGATATTAATTTTTTTTTGTAGACATATATTTTGAATTTTTGCTGGAAAGCCGCCAAGAAATCATCGATTATAACAACAATCATCGTGTCAATGAGAAATTACGTCCCGCTAAGAGCAAACCTAATTCGGAACTTTTTGGTACCGAGGGTAATTTTAAGAAATTGGATATTGATTAGAATTTGATTACTTTAAGTGAGAAAAAAAAAAACAAATATATAATTGACCCCAAAAAAAGTTCGACTTTAATTAAAAATTAGCAAGTAAATTTAGTTTTGAACTTTGTTCCTGCTTAATTTTGTTGGGAGACTATTAAAACCAGTACACATGTTCCAAGTAATAAACAATTAAATTAGTTTGTCGTCACAGCTATGATAGCTATTAGTCAATGCTAATTAAAATCTGAACATTAGCGTTAAACTGTGTGCTTTGAAATTCTCCATTGAACCTATAAAATTATTTTGACAAAATAAATATGTACATGACAAAAAGGTTTTGGAACATTTAACATAATTGGCCATTAACTATAATTACCTTGATAGTATACACGAGGTGTTTTCAAAAATAATGAGCTAAAGTGCCGAAAGATGGAAGGATGTCTTTACAAACGAGCTGAATAGAATCGTTCATGAACGAGCTGAACCAGGGAGTCTTTATAGACGATCTTCTAAACCAGATTTATCCAATGGCGCCCAATAGAAATGTGTTGGATGATATGCGTAGATTCTTTACAAATATTTTCGTAGGAACTATTAGGCCGATAAACGTAGTTTTTTTTATGAATATTTTCAGAGGGACTATTAGGACGATAAGCGTAGATTATTAACGAATATTTTCTTTGGGACTTTCAGGATGATTAGCGTAAATTGTATACGAATATTTTCTGAGCGACTTTCAGAACGATAAGCGTGATTTTTTACCAATATTTTCTGAGGGACTATCAGGATAATAAGCATGGACCTTTAAAGAATATTTTCTGGGTCCAAAAGTGTGGATTTTTACGAATATTTTCTGAGACAAATCCGGATGAATACCTGCCAAATATTTTCAGTCTATCGGAATCCCTGACACAAAACCCTTGGCTTTGTCAAGATAAGTATATGAGCAAATGATATCGCACCTCTGTAGAAGATCACTGATATTCTTCTATTGACCGCAAAAGACCTCTGGTAGCCTTCTATCGACCGTTGACCACCTCTGAAGATCTGATGTTGGTTGTAAATATTTTAGACTTTCTCTATACCTTCTCCTGATCATGGTAGAACTCTTGTCTTCTGGCCTGCTAATATTAATAATTCTCTGTGGTCATAAAAGGCATCTGTATATGACTCAGGGGACCTTTAACAAATCCGGATGAATACCTGCCAAATATTTTCAGTCTATCGGAGTCCCCGACACAAAACCTTTGACTTTGTCAAGATAAGTATATGAGCAAATGATATCGCACCTCAGTAGAAGATCACTGATATTCTTCTATTGACCGCAAAAGACCTCTGGTAGCCTTCTATCGACCGCTGACCACTTCTGAAGATCTGATGTTGGTTGTAAATATTTTAGACTTTCTCTATACCTTCTCCTGATCATGGTAGAACTCTTGTCTTCTGGCCTGCTAATATTAATAATTCTCTGTGGTCATAAAAGGAATCTGTACATGACTCAGGGTACATTTAACGGGTTTATATTTACCACAGAAAGCCTACTATGTCCCAATATTTAAAGAAGGTTTTTTACCCCTATGATCTAATAATCCTCTTTAGTCTAAATCAGAAGACCTCTAACGGGTATATGTACCCACCACTTACGACCTTTTACTTGACATAGAAGTTATCCGAACTACTTCTACAACTGACTATGAAGGTAATTTTCCCCTGATGATCGCTAGCCGGTTTTGTACACACCACAGAAGATCTCTGTGGTCATAAAAGGCATCTGCATATGACTCAGGGGACCTTTAACGGGTTTATATTTACCACAGAAGGCCTACTATGACCCATTATTTAAAGAATGTTTTTACCCCTATCATCTAATAATCCTCTTTGGTCTGACTCAGAAGACCTCTAACGGTATATGTACCCACCTCGTACGACCTTTTACTTCTCATAGAAGTTATCCGAACTACTTCTACAACTGACTATAAAGGTAATTTTCCCCTGAGGATCGCTAGCGGGTTTTGTATACACCACAGAAGACCTCTTATTCGAATTCGAAGGTCTTTTCCCTGCTGAGGACTATCTTTTGTAGTTCTGCTGATCATGGAATACCTTTGACTTCTTCTATGATTTATAACTATTTGTTCTGAAGGACTATCAGAACTATAAGCGTGGATTTCTTTAGAATATTTACAGAGAGAGTATCGGGATGATAAGGGTAGCTTTCATTAAAGACATCTGCATATGACTCAGGGGACCTTTAACGGATTTATATTGACCGCAGAATTCCTACAATAAAGGTATTTTTCCCCTGAGCACGTTGTCTTGACTTTCTGCTGATCATAGAAGAACTCTGGTCTTCCGTTCTGCTACTATTATTTAAAGAAAGTTTTTTTTTACCCCTATCATCTTATAATCCTCTTTGGGCTGACTCAGAAGACATCTAACGGGATATGTACACACCTGTTACGGCCTTCTACTTGTCATAGAAGGAGACTACTTTGCAAAAACCAAAGTAGTTTTTTTTAATATTTTCTGAGGGATAATCAGGACGATACGTGTAGATTTTTTACGAATATTTTCTGAGGAACTTCGTTTGGCCAGAAACGAAGGTCTTTTCTCCACTGAGGACTTTCTTTCTTTGGTTATCTTATTATTATGAAGAACGAAGGGATTTCCACCTCTAGACCAAACATTAAAACTTCGACAAGTTCACCTCGCTTAGACCTTGCTTTCGTCACACTTTTACTTTTAATTTTTTTCCTAATTAGGTCACATTGCCAAAATAGAAAATGAACTTTGAATGGTCCGGTTTTTTAAATCATGTCTTCATGGATAAGGAAAATCGCCAGTCTACAGAATACCTGACAAATATTTTATGTCTATAGGAATCCTGACGAAAGTCTTCCGTTAACAGAAGATCTGAAAAACTTAATTTGTATATAGAACCCCTGTAGAGGTCTTCTGTATATATAGACCTTCCGTCTATATAGAGAACTGAAAGAAATCCTTTGCTCCAGGCAAAACCTAAAGGAGAACATCAACCTATCGGACAATAGAAGATCTACAGGAACTCTTTAGTCTATTGGAAACCTAAAGAAGGTCGTCCGTCTACATAATACCTGACAAATGTCTTCAGTCTATAAAAGTCCCGACGAAATTCTTCCCTTAACAGAAGACCTGAAGGACGTAATCTGTAAATTGAAAACCAGAAGATGGGAGTCGAAGAAATTGATCTGTTTATACAGAACTCAAAGAAACCTTCACACCAGATAAGACCTATAGAAGATGTTCAATCACTGTTCACTGCCTATAAACCCTCTTCTGTCTATAGAAAATCTGAAAAAGGTCTTATATCTATTGAAGTTCTGGAGATGTTCAGGTCATCTATTAAATACCTCATACTGATCATCTATAGAAGACCTTCTTTATTTGTTCAACAGATGAAGATTTTTGTCAGGTATTCTATAGATGAAGTCTACAGGTGGTTTTCTATAGATAACCTGAAGGAAATCTTACATAGATCACCTCAAGGAGGTATTCTATAGAACGCCTATATGTGCTTTCGTCACACTTTTACTTTTAATTTTTTTTCCTAATTAGGTCACATTGCCAAAATAGAAAATGAACTTTGAATTGGTCCAAATGGTCCGGTTTTTTTAAATCATGTCGTTTTTTGTTGTTGCTGCCGTTCTCCTACTACCAGTTTATTCTAAATAATAATGATGATGATGTTAATGATTGTTATCGGAATAAAAACAGTAATAGCAGCAGCAGCAACAACAGGTATGAAATTGAGTTGGATGCAAACATTCTAACAATCCCACAACAGCTATCAATCGGAACGCATCTTTATTGCCTTAGCTGCGGAGCCAAAAAACTTAAAATGTGGCAATTTTTCGATTTGGAGGAACAATATCGCCGCTTCCCCACCATAAAACGTGACGAAGTACAAAAACTTCTAGAATGGCTGAATGGCCAACCGCATCTACCTCAGCTAACCGAACAAGAGGTACTGCTCTTCTATCAGGCATGTAATCATCAAATGGAATATACCAAACAGGTGATCGATGATTCGTTTACATTTCGCACCCATAATGAAGATTTCTTTGGTAATGTCGATACGGATTCGCCGCAAATGTTGCAGGCCATGGAAACGGTGTAAGAAGGATAATTTGGAATGGGGTTTGAAACGAAATTTTCTAAATAAGTTGTTTTTTTTTTAATTTTTCCAGTGCCGGATTCCCATTGGAAAAACGTTCGCCCGAGGGTTGTGTTGTAATTTTGGGTAAATTAATCGATACCGACTCGTCGAAATTTGATTTTGTTGGAGCCATGAAACTGTAAGTATAAAAAAAATCGAGAAATTTCCGAACTTTCCGACTTTAAGGAAGAACTGTAATATCCTTTGAAATACACTTGCTCAAATATAGAAAATCGGGTGAGGTTTTTAATGATATAAGTGCTCTGCCTGTTTTTAAACCAGAATTAACCAGTGGCGCCCAATGGAAGAGTTTTAAAGGCTTTCAATTTACTATAGAAGACATGTGTTGGTAGAAAACGACTGAAGGGATTCCATTGACTACAGAAGAACTCTATCAGATAGGTAAGCGGGAATTTTTTTAAAAATATTTTCTAAGAGACTTTCAGAAAGATAAACGTGAATTTTTAAAGGAGCTATCAGGACGATATGTGGGCGTTTTTTAAGAATATTTTCTGAGGAACTACCAGGACGATAAGCGTGGGTTTTTAGGAATATTTTCTGATGGACTATCAGGAAGATAGGCGATGATTTTTAAAGGGACTATTAGGGCGATACGCAAGAATTTTTTAAAAATATTATGTGAGGAACTATCAGGACAATTAGCGTGAGTTTTTAGAAATATTTTCCGAAGGACTATCAGGACAATATGCGTAGATTTTTTTACAAATATTTTTTAGGGACTTTCAGGATGATAAGCGTAAATTTTAGGAATATTACTAAGGGAATATCAGGACGATAAACGAGGACGAGGAAATATTCTTATCCTGAAGGATGTTAGGACAATAAACATAGATTTTTACGAATATTTTCGGAGGTTCTATCGCGATGATAAACCTAGAATATTATCTAAGGGTCTATCAGAACTATTAGCGTAAATTTTTTTATGAATATTTTCTATAAGAAATCAGGACGATAAGCGTGGATGAAGAAGATCGCCAGTCTACAGTATACCTGACAAATATGTTAAGTCTATAGGAATCCTGACGAAAGTCTCAGAAGATCTGAAAAACTTAATTTGTATATAGAAACCCTGTAGAGGTCTTCTGTATATATAGACCTTCCCTATATACATATATAGAACTGAAAGAAATCCTAACAAAACCTAAAGGAGAACATCAACCTATCGGACAATACAAAATCTACTGGAACTCTTTAGTCTATTGGAAACCTAAAGAAGGTCGTCCGTCTACATAATACCTGACAAATGTCTTCCCGACGAAATTCTTACCTTACCAGAAGACCTGTAACCCGGAAGACCCGGAAGATGGCCTCCTGTGTAGGAGGGATTCGAAGAAATTCTTCTGTTTATAGAGAACTCAATAAAAGCCTTCAGATGTTCAATCACTGTTCTCTGATCTATAAACCCTCAAAGTCTTCAGTCTATAGAAAATCTGAAGAAGGTCTTATATCTATTGAAGTTCTGGAGATGTTCAGGTCATCTATTAAATACCTCATACTGATCATCTATAGAAGACCTTCTTTATTTGTTCAACAGATGAAGATTTTTGTCAGGTATTCTATAGATGAAGTCTACAGGTGGTTTTCTATAAATAACCTGAAGGAAATCTTACATAGATCACCTCAAGGAAGTATTCTATAGATGGCCTATATGAAGATCTGAAGATGGTCGTATATCTATAGTAGCTCTGAAAATGTTCAGGTTATCTATAAAATATCTCCAGATATGTTCTACAGAAGAAGAAGAAGTTTGTCAGTATTTTTAGAGAGTCTTCAATAGATGATCTGAATAAGATCTTCTATATATAGACGCCTGAAGAAGGTCTTCTGTCTATAGAAAATCTGACCTGAATAAAATCATATTCTATAGCATATATGATGAAGCTCATCGGACAATAGACCAACTATAAAAAACCTAAAGAATACCGAAAGAAGTACTGAATGATTTCTTTTTTTTTTTGTCTAGGGAAGAGTAACATTTCTTCAGTCTCTAGAAAACTTGAATCAATTGTCTTGATCGTTATCAGAGAGAGAGCCAAATATAAATCAAGATTTCGGATTTTCTCAAATTATCTGATTTATTAAAATTGACTTATTTTCCTGATAAATAGAACCTTCAGAATTCCTATCCTTGCATTTACTTTTTTCATTTCTTTTATTTCCATATTCAGCTATTGCCTCGGCCAGGATATGTGGCTATTGGAGAATGGTCTTACCACGGGACTTACATTTGTCTTTGATTTAACCGGTTATTGTTTTGGTCATTTGGCTCGTATCGGTTTGGGGCCACTAAAAAGTCTATTGCATTTTTTACAGGTAATACTTCCCTGCAGGAGATCAAAATTTTTTTGTAATCCGTAAATTTATTTTGGTTTTTTAGGAAGCAATACCGATCCGCCTGGCCAGTATACATATTGTCAATGCCGGTACCCTGATCGAAACATTAATGGCAATGTTAAATCCATTATTGAAACCGGAAATCAAAGAAGCTTTCCATGTCCATACATCACTGGATAGTCTATATAAATATATTCCGCAAGATATGCTGCCACAGGAATTGGGTGGCCCGCTGCCGCACTCGAAAGAGTTGAGGGGTAAGTTTAAGAGAGTACTAAGCAATGAGAGTAAGAAACAATGAGGATCTCTATGGCTACAGCCAAAAAGTGTGACTAAATTATGTAGCCACTAGAAGAGGTCCGTCGATTTGGTGACTTTTTGGGAATTTATTTTTTCAATAAGGTCCATATTTCCCAAATAGGTCCATCAAGGGATCTCGTAATAAATTTCTCTCTTGTGTCGATATCCTAAACGCCAATGATTTTTGATTAAAGGACACTTGACGCCGAACCTTGATGCCTGTATGTGCTTTTTTACTAATACCCATTACCCATGTCCTTCTTTTCCCCATTTTTCGTTTCAGATATTTTCTACAAACAATTGCGCTCTAATCGCCAACAAATCATTGACTACAACAATAACCGCAAAGTCAAGGAAGAACTGCGTCCGAGCAAATCTACAAATCAGCCATCTCAAATGTTCGGTACTGAAGGATATTTCAAGAAATTGAATTTCGATTAAAGGTAGTGCTCTTCTTTATTAATCTGATCAATAAATTGTAAACATAAATAAAAATACCTCGAAAAAATCTGGAATTTCCGAATCTATTTTCAGAATATTTTTGAGGGATTCAGCACGATGTGCATGGCTTTTTTAAGAATATTTTCTGAGGGACTGTCCTTTAAGGGAGTACTATTTTTTATAAATCTAATCAATAAATCATAAAAATGAATAAAAATAGCCCGAAAATATCTTTTTCCGACATATTAAAAATCTATAAAAAACAGACTTGGAAAAATTATGTCTATTGAAGATCTGTGTCCTACTGACGAAGACCATTGTCAGATCTGAAGGTCTCATTTTGCCGACCAGAAGGATGTCAGTCTTCTATATATGGCCTGAATGAGATCTTCGACCATTAGAAATTCTGATAGAGGACCTGAAGGGACTCTTATTCTTACACTAGACCTGGAGATATTACTGTTTAAATATGAAGATATTTAAACAGTTCACGAGAATATCGTATTTTTAAAGAACACTCAATAAAAGAGCTACAGTAAATCTAAGGTCTAAATAGAAGATCTGACGATTCTCTTATGTCTATTGAAGTCCTGATGAAGGTCTTCTGTCAATAAAGAGTCTAAAAAAGTCTATAAGATCTAAAAAATATGTACTGTGTCTACCTAAAACGGGTCTCATGTAGGAGGTCTACAGAAGATTTGAACTTCTTCTGTCTGTCTATAGAAGATCTGAAGGAAATCTTCCGTTTATAAAATACTTAAATATCTTTAATCTCTAAAAATCCTATCCTTAGAACCCATTAGGTCTTGAGACTATAGAAAACCTGACGAAAATATCCTCTCAATCGAATATGTAATCTATAAAAGTCCTAATGACCTGACAGAGGAAATCTGTAAAAGGTCTTCTGCATATGGAAAACTTGAAAATTTGACCTGAATAAAACCTCTGTATTTAGAATATTTAAAGAAGACCTTTCACTCAATAGAAAACCTGGGAAGGAAGATATTCAATCTATAAAATGGCATGGCGGAAGTCTTCTGTAGAAAATCTCCAGTCTATGAAAGGTCTGAAGAAGGTCTTTAGTCTAAAGAAGACCTGACGAATATGTTCTTGTTTAGAGTACCTAAAGATGGTCTCCTTTAAAAACCCCGAACCCCATCTATTTATAGACGATGGTGGTCTCCTTAAAAAAAACCGAAGGCAATCTATTTACAGACGACCTAACGATGGTTTTCGGTCTATAGAAGAATGTATTCTGTGTTTCTGCGTAGAACTAAAGAAGGTTTCCGTATACAGGAGACCTAAGGACGAGTCTATGGCACATCTGAAGAAGGTACTCCTTTTATGGAGGCCTGAAGAAATTATTCTGTGTAAATAAGATCTGAATGAAATTTTCTGTCCTTAGAGGATTCGGAAAAATTATAGATGATCTAAAGGTAAAAAAAAACTAACAAAAGTCTTCCAAAGATGAACTGGATGAGGTCTTCTGCCTATAAAATATCTAAAGAAGATCCTCTGTGTATATATCACTTGAAGAAGATATTCTTCTACAGAAGACCTAAAGTTCCTCGGTCAGTAGAACCCAATGAAGGTTTAACAATCCAAAGAAGGATCAAAAGAAAGATTTCCTTCTACAAAAGACCTAAGGACGGATCCTAAGGCAGATCTGAAGAAGGTACTCCATTTATGGAGACCTGAAGAAATTCTTCTGTCTAAATATGATCCGAAAAAAATTTTCTGTTCACAGGTAATTTAAAAAAAATTAAAGAGGATTTAAAGATGTAAAAAGAACTGAAAAAGTCTTCCAAATATGGCATGTCTATAAAATATCTGAAGAAGATCCTCTGTGTATATATTCACTTGAAAAAGATATTCTTCTACAGAAGACCTGAAGAAGATTTTCTGTATATAGAAGACTAAATGAAGTTCCTTGGTCAGTAGAAGGCATTTTGTCTATAGAATAGCTGAAAGAATTAGAAGAAGTTATTCTGCAAATGGAGGGACAGAATAAGGTATTCTATCTGTAGAGTATCAGAATGAGTCTTAGGTCTTTAGGCTTTAAAAAACCCTACAACAGGTTTTCGGTCTACAGAAGTCCCGAAAAAGTCTTTCCTTCTACAGAAGATCTGAAAAATGTGTATATAGTGTTTAGAGAACCTGACGGTAAAGTGTTATACAATTTAAAAAGGCCTACAGAGTATCAGAATGAGTCTTAGGTCTTTAGGATTTAAAAGACCCCCCAGTTATCCGGTTATTAGAAAACCCTACTACATGTTTTCGGTCTACAGAAGTCCGGAAGAAGTCTTTCCTTCTACAAAAGATCTGAAAAACGTGTATATAGTGTTTAGATTACCTGACGTGTTATACAAATTAAAAAGGCCTATGGAGTAATGTGTTATACATGCTATTTTCTATACGAAAAAATACAACATATTTTACATAGAAAAAAGTGTTATACAACTATGGAAAAGTATTATACACCTACCGGAAAGTGTTATACAACCAGAGAAAAGTGTTATACAAAACATTTCATATATATTCAAGTCTTATACAACTTTTTACCTTAATGAAAACTGTTATACAACGCATTTTCTTTACGGAAAGGAGTTATACAAAGAATTACTTATGCGGAGAAGTGTTATATAACACATCTCCTCTACGAAAAAGTGTTATACCCCACATCTCTTATACAAAAAAGTGTTATAAAACAGAAAATATATACAAAAATGTGTTATACAAAACATTTCATACTCGAAAAAGTGTTATATAAAACATGTTTATATGAAAAGTGTTATACAACTTATATTCTATATGAAAAGGTATCATACACCACAATTGGTATTAGAAAATAATTTATACTTTACCGAAAAGTGTTAAACAACACATGCAAAACTGTTATACAACAAAATTATTATACGGGAAAGTGTTTTATAACGCATTCTTATTATGGAAAAGTGTTATTTAATACATTTTCGATATGGAAAAGTGTTATATAATACATTTTCTATATGGAAAAGTGTTATAAAATACATTTCCTTTAAGAAAAAGTGTTATACAGCATATTTTTAAGACGGAAAACTGTTATACATTTCATTTCCTATACGAAAACTAGTTATACAATTCATTTATGCAAAACAAATAAAAATATACTTTCAATTTCCTATACGGAAAACTGTTATACAAGAAGTAATCTACCAGTGATAATTGGCAATTTTGTTTGTATATTTTTGTAATTCAAATTCAATCAATATCCAATTTCTTAAAATTGCCCTCAGTACCAAAAATACTTGTGTCATACGATGATGATGATGACGATTTTACGGGTCTTAGTTTTTCATTGATTCGACGATGACGATCATACTCAATAATTTCGTAACGATTTTGCCTTAATTCATTATAACACGATTCTGGAAATGGAAGATAAGAAACAATATTATCAAATAATAATAATATGCAGTAAAGCATTTCATACCTTTCAGCTCTCTGGAATGTGCTAGAGGTCCACCCAATTCTTGTGGCAATATTTCACGTGGCACATATTTATAAACTGGTTCCACACCAAGGTGGGTATGAAACATATCAGTTAAATCTTTTTTCATAAAGGGTTTCATTAATGTCATTAGACTATCCGTTACTGGACCGATGTTCACAAAATGTAAACCCACCAGGCGGACAGGTATGGCTTCCTAAACAAGAAAGGTGGCTAAAAATTAAGGTTCAGGAAAGTAAATTCACGCACAATTTACCTGTAGATAATAGAGGAACTTTTTCATTTGCATTAAACCAATTCGAGTGACATGGCCAAAACTAACACCATCAAAATCAACGAGAAATATTAGGCCCTTTAATAGTCCAACTTTTTGCAGCCAAATATCTTGGACCAAAAAATATCTGAAATAAGATACAAAAAAGGGAACGAAATAAAAAAACAATTTTTATTATAAAATTGTGTACTCACAATTTAATTGCATCGGCAAAACAAAAATTCGAAGCATCGGTGTCATCAACCTTGCCCAATATAACACCATATCCTTCCGGTGTTATATTCTCCAATGGAAATATTGTACTAAAACGACATTTACATTTTAAAGAAAATTAGACCATATCTGCTCGATCCCATCCACATACATTGTCTTAAATAACCGGTTCCATGCCGGCGTCTCTACATCCATATTCCCAAAGAAATCCTCAAAATGGGTGCGACATGTCAAATAGATATCAATGACACGCTTTGTATACTCCATGCCATGATCACAGGCATGAAAGAACAACAAAGCCTCCTGTTCGGTTAGGCTCGGCATATGGGGTTGTGCACTCAACCATTGGAGTAGTTTTAAAATTTCTTCACGTTTAATTTCGGGATGTTGAGAATATTGATCTTCTAAATTAAATAATTGCCACATTTTATAATTGAAATTTTAGTTCTCAACGGCGATCCGATATAAAAGAAACAAACATTCGAAATGAATTGTTTTCAAACAAATTCACAACAAAGTATTTAATAATGTTTGATTGTTAAAAATCTAATCTTGATCATGGTAATTATTATTTGTTGTTGTCATTGCTATTTTATATTCCAGTCAGTGCTAAAATACTGCAGCTAATAATAAAAAAAACAGAAGAATAGAAACAGGAATTTCTGATAAATGTCAAATAGCCACGGCAATCGGATACCCTACATGGGTTTACATTACGATAATGTTTAGGTGTATATAACACTTTTTCGAATAGAATAAAAGTTGTATAACACTTTCCCATAAATGAAATGTGTTATATAGCGATTTTCAGTAAGGGAAATGTATTGCATAACAACTTTCAGTAAGAGAAATGTGTTGTATAACACTTTTTCGTATAGAAAATTTATTGTATAACACTTTTTCGTATAGAAAATGTATTGTATAACACTTTTTTCGTATAGGACATATGTTGTATAACACCTTTTCGTATAAAAACTGCGTTGTATAACACTTTTTCTATGGAAAAGTATTATTCTAACACTTTCCCTTATAGAAAATGTGTTGTATAGCACTTTTTCGTATAGAAATTTTATTGTATAACACTTTTCCGTTTAGGCAATGTGTTGTATAAGACTTTTTCGTATAGGCAATGTGTTGTATAACACTTTTCCGTATTGGCAATGTGTTGTATAACATTTTTTCGTATAGGCAATGTGTTGTATAACACTTTTTCGTATAAGCAATGTGTTGTATAACACTTTTCCGTATTGGCAATGTGTTGTATAACACTTTTCCGTATAGGAAATGTGTTGTATAATGCTTTTACGTATATGAAATGTGTTGTATAACACTTTTCCGTATAGGATATGTGTTGTATAACACTTTTCCGTATAGGAAATGTGTTGCATAACAATTTTTCGTATAAAATTGTATTGTATAACACTTTTCCGTATAGGAAATAAGTTGTATAACACTTTTCCGTATAGGAAATAAGTTGTATAACACTTTTCCGTATAGGAAATGTGTTGTATAACACTTTTCCGTATAGGAAATGTGTTGTATAACACTTTTCTGTATAGAAAATGGGTTGTATAACACTTTTCCGTATAGGAAATGTGTTGTATAACACTTTTCCGTATAGGAAATGTGTTGTATAACACTTTTCCGTATAGGAAATGTGTTGTATAACACTTTTCCGTATAGGAAATGTGTTGTATAACACTTTTCCGTATAGGAAATGTGTTGTATAACACTTTTCTATATGGAAATTGTGTTGTATAACACTTTGCCGTTTAGAAAACGCATTGCATAACACTTTTCCAACTAGGACAAGTTTTGTATAACACTTTTCCGTATAGAAAAAAAATGTTGTATAACAGTTTTCTGTATAGGGATTTTTTATATAACACTATTCTGTATAAATTTGTTGTATAACACTTTTCCGTATATAAAATTTTGTCGTATACCACTTTTCGTATAAGAAATGTGTTGTATAATAGTTAGGGAAAATACCTTCTCTGGCGCTACTGATGCATACGAGACCATATACTGTCCGCAGCACCAACAACTTCTTGGCAGCAGGACTGATGTTCCTCAACCCATCACATCCTTTTCACTGCCACAGGCTTCTTTCTATATACCCAAATTGTGTTGTATAACATTGTATGGACGACGTCCATAGGCATTTCGTAGACAGTAGCCTGCCTAGCTGAGTAGGCAGTGGAAAAGCAAGGCAAGCTTCTCCATAAGGCTATGGCAGGGGTGTTCCGACTATAACACCCAAACATCGATGGATGATTTTCGACTCCTCAAGAAGATAGTGCACTGTATATAGAAGACTAAACGAAGTTCTTCAGTCAGTAGAACCTAAAGATGGATTTACGCCTACAAAAGGCCTCTAAGGCAGATCTGAAGGTATGGAGAACTGAGGAAATTCTTCTATCTAAACAAGATCTGAAGAAAATCATCTGTCATTAGAGAATTCGAAAAAATTTTAGATGATTTAAAAGTGACAAAAAATTGAAAAAGGACTTCCGAATATTAATTGAATGAGGTATTCTGTCTATAAAATACCTGAAGAAGATCCTCTAAGTATATATCACTTGAAGAAGGTATTCTTCTAAAGAAGACCTAAAGAAGTTATTCTGTATATAGAAGACTAAAAGAAATTCCTCGGTCAGTAGAAAAAGGCCTTTTGTCTACAGAGTATCTAAAAGAATTAGAAGAAATTATTCTGTATATGGAGGGTCAGAAGAAGGTATTATACCTATAGGATACCAGAATAAGTCTTAAATGATTTTTGGCACTAAAAGACCTAAATACGTTATTTGGTTATTAGAAAACCTGTAGAAGATTTTCGGTCTACAGAAGTCCCGAAGAAGTCGTTCTAAAAGATCTAAAGGAGTTATTCGGTTATTAGAAAACCTGTAGTAGGTTTCGGTCTAAAGAAGTCCCAAAGAAGTTTTTCCTTCTGCAGAAGATCCGCTAAATATGTATATAGTGTGTAGAGAACCTGACGATGGACGTAATTTTTTCAAAAAAGTGTTATTGAAAATATTTTCTTATACAAATTAAAAAGGCCTCATGACGATGTTGCACTGGTATCATAAAGAGACATCCTGTTGCAGTTCTCAGGGCGACTGAAACTGTCCAGTGTATATCGGAAAGGAAGAGATTAAACAGTTCCGGAGAGATCACCTCTCTGTTTCACTTCCTGTTTCTATCGTCCTTAAAATAAGCGGAGATAATTTATTATTTAGAAGGTATTATATCTATAAAAGATATACAGAAGGTCTTCCATTTATAGAAAATCAAAAAAAAACTGACAAGCTCTATTATCTATAAAATATAATTAACAAAAATATTTCTTTTTTTTTTGTATTTTAAAAATTCAATTTGTTTTTATTTTTATTTTCTAGATTTTTAGCCTGGGCTAATAGAAATCAGTTTTTTTATGTATACGTGTTTTCTTTAAATTTTACATAAAAACCTATAATTCGTTTTAACAGTAACTTAACATTGAATGAAGTAATTATATATATACTAAAATATAATGTTTACATATTTATTTGTAAAAAATGTAATGTGAAAATTAAACAAATTTTAAATGATATTAAAATAAAAAAAAATATATATATATAAATCATGTTTTAAAGAAAAATTTAAAAAATTATAATAATTTATTATTTTATTGTTAATGACCATCGGGTCTGAATTATTATAGGCCATTAAATAGTATTACTATTATTTACAGCTATACAAGAAAGTATATGTAGTTCAATACAGCTTTATAAGATATTTTAACACTTGTTAAAAATGAAATTCCTTTCTTCTTTCTTTGCAACAATGTTGTTGCCTTTACAACCATATTTGTCTTTAAACTCAGGAGGAGGAGGAGGAGGGCATTATGATAGACGTAATGAAATGAATGCCCATTGTTTTTCACTGCGAATATTTTTTATAATTAAAAAAAAAATAAGAAACAAATTTAAATAACTAAAACAAATCAAATTTTGAAAAAATGAATCTATTCTATATTCTTAATCTTATGTCATTATACAAAAGCGAATACCATCTTCAGATATTCGATGTATTATAAGTAAATATCTATATTTTTAATTATATATTTTACAACTAACATTTACAATGAATTTCCATGAAATGAATGTGTACATGTGTGTGTGAATCAGTATTTAAATGTAATATCAAATAAAAAGAAATAACCAAATAAACTATGGAGCAATCATTATCCATATTCTATGATATACATATCACATTTCCATTGGGGATTTTTTCCTCTCCTCTCAAGGAGAGCAATAGTAGTAATAGTAACGTTTAATAGCAGCATCTGTAGTAGTAGTCAGCCAACCAAACTAAAATCGTTTTTATTTCAGCTTCAAGTTGAATAAAAAACTTCAATGATAACGTATTTGACGATTTGAAGTTGTTTTACCACCACGACCACCACCACCACCAGTTGCCGAACTTGAATTTTGTCCAATTTGTATCTTGGCAATGGGTGCAGCTATAGTTGGATTTGTTGTACCAACTACTGGAACCCATCGAGTGCCCTGTTGTAAAATTGTATAGGTGTTCGTTGGACAGTTTGATGAATTGGCCGGGGTTGTAATTGCTTGCTGGAAATAAAAAAAAAAATATTAAAAATTTTTTAAAAATACAAATTATTAAAAAAAAAATTACAAAAAATTGAGACTAGTTCAGTCAGGTAGAACTTATTATAACCTTCATCGTAACTTAGTTAAGTTTTCGTACTCTCCCACCATTCAAAATAAACAGAATCGTTTGGAACCGTATATTGTAAATTGTCGGCAGAAACCACAAAATTCATAAAATTACGCTGGACATAGGTCCAACATCCTTCATACATATTTAACACTTTACAAAAACCGGGAATGTCAAATCACAGTAACTTTGACCGGTAAAACCTCAAAAAATAAACTTTATATGGGGGATGTTTCAAAATAAACCAGTGAGCAGAGCAGTATAGTCGGACGGAGCCGACCATATGATACCCTACACAACTACCACTGAGTTTCTGCTGATATATATTCCGGACCTGGGAAGTAGTTCGCGATATTTCCCCACTCTTGACGTTTAGTGGTTAACACCTCCTCCGCAGCTTCTTTTCCGAATCATGTTTTTCGGGAGAATAGATGAAAAATTTGTTATTTTACACAACAAATTTTTATTCATTTGACCCGCTAAATATTAACTGATCATGTCTGCCAAACGAATTAGTTGGTCAGATCGCCTCTCCCATGGAAAATTTCTGTTGTTCGGAATATAATTGTGGCGTCTAGAGCGACTAGAAAAAACAGAAAAAATAAAGTTTCCGATCTACTTCATCTTCGATATATCAACTGATCATCATCCAAATTTATTGGTGTCGTCCTGGACCCTAACCGGAACTTAATGTAAAATTCCATAGCGCTATTCTATGGTCAGACCCCTTTCTCTGTATAAAATTTTCTGGTGTTCGGGTCATAATTGTGGCCTCTATGGCGGTCCGAAAAACAGACAAAAATAAATATTTACCGACAATTACCAAAAACAAACGCGGTCTTCTTTGGTTAGAACCCATCCTACATGCTAAATTTCGTAGCGATTAGTCCATAATCGACAGGCGGTCGGACACACACATGTCTAGATCGACTCAGCTAGTCGAAATATGAAGATATGCATACTTAAAGGTAGAATGGGACATTTTTGTATGGACATTTGTTTTCGCAAATATATTTTTCACACTCTAAGAACCCGGAATACCTAATTAAAGGACATTTGGATGCAAAATATATCTATATATCAATCAAAATGCCCCGAATATGGAGCGGTATATCAAAATGTGGATACATATTTTATTCACATGGATCGGACCATCTCACCATAATTGTCTCCGTAATCAGACCTCCTGATTTCATCATAGAAAAGTCAAATGGCAAAAAAATCAGAGAGTTTACCAAACATCGCTTCAGAGTACTCATGAACCATTCTAATGTTCGGGTACCAGAAAGGTAATTATGAGACATTGTTATGGCCTGCAGCGGATAGTTTTATATCTGCTGGTCGAATACCCAAGTTGACACCTATTTTCACTACAGAATCAGTTGGACTAGCTAATGAACACAATATTATAACGACTCGTTAAAACACCTCCTGAATAAGTTCCCTGACTTTGCGATCAATAAGTCAGGGAACTTATTCTGGATGTGAGTAGAATATTCGCAGATCATAAGCGAAATAGTTGTTGAGGGCATATAAAGTGTTGCAACAATGGAACCTGTATGAATAAGCTGTGGGCAAATGTTATGTCGCTCTCGTACACTGGAAAGAATGATGATAGGACCTGAGTCGAAGGCTGTGCAAGCTATTTAATCCGACTGTGCACAGAGAGATAGGGCAAAGAGGAGAGTACTACGTTGTATTACATATATACACGCCGAATCCGAGAAATTTCGTCCGAAGCGCTAAGTCACCCAAAGCATTAGTCCCTGACAGAATCTCTATTGAATGACGCTATTGTAGATCCAGTGTATCATCTTCGAATTAAACCCCCATTTACAGCTTACACCTTTTCTGCATTTACGTGTCCTCTCTAGGATGATTCCCAAATATTTACCATTGTTTGATATGACAATCACTTTGTTCTTGACGATGGACTCTTCATACTTTCCTATTTTTGTCTTTCTGGTAAAAGACATATCACCGTCACGTTAAGGACTCTCGGCAACGGCCGATTGAAAGCGATGTTGAACGCCTTTTCAGCATTTCTCATAGAGAGTATGTCTGCATAACAGACGGATTCAAATCCCTCATCGATTGAGGTCCTTACTTGGAATTTTCCTTGCCCTATTTTGTCCCCGATGGATATGTCCCGTAGACTACAGTTTATGTATTTATTTATGTGGCTGACACAGAGCTGGTCTACTCGAAAGACTTCTAACGATTGGATAAACGTTTCAGTGCCGACATTGTTGAAGGCTCCCTCTACATCAATGCGGTTTCCACTGATCTCAACTGTCGTGCCATGATTTCGAGTAATTAAGCTTATGCAAACCGGTACCTTTCTTATTACCCTTGCATCATCAGTTCTCAAAGTGTTCGGTGGAAAGTGAATTTTTTCATTTCTACCATTATTTCGATTTGAGTGTGAGTTTCTGATAGAAACTTTTTGATTTCAGATACCTCGTTTACGATCTACATAAGAACACGAATATTTTTTCCGTTACGTATTTTTTGGACCGTTCAACATATTTCGTTGAATAAATTTGGATTGAAACAGGAAAACAGTTTAAATAGTTCTTTTTTTAAGAACATCATCGTATTAAAAAAACTTACCGTAGCATTAAAACGTTGCACTGGAATGCTATATGTCGTATTGCAACGTACAGTTGGCTGATTGACAGCTGTAACAACGGGTCTCAAATAGGTATTTGTTGGTAATTTAAGAAGATCCGCTGAGTTGTTGCTATTATTAGCATTACGCTGTAATGAAGACGACGACGATGAGGCAGATTGGACAGACATTTGCGTTGTGGTGGACATTAAAGAATTTGCCGAGGATTTTTTACCCAATGCGGATTTGTCTTTTTTCATCAAGACGGATGGTGAAGAACCAGGTGTTTTGGTATTTACATTGGCGGGGCTAATGTGAGATGTTGAGGTGGAATTGGTATTATGATCACGTTGCTGTTGTAAGGAAGAGAATGATATACATTAATAGTTTGTGTTTAGAATACAATTTCTACTCCTCACTTACCATTTGCATTTGTAGATTACTATTTACCACCAAATTATTCGTTGTGATATTTGTTAGATTTGTTTCCTGTATTTTGGGACGTATTTGTGCACAATTTGCCTCATGTCGACTCCAATGCATATCCTGACAGGGATAATCACAATACGAGGTATTCCAACAACAATAGAATTTTGCTTCACGACCACACTGCGCACACCACTGCTTACGTTTAGTTTCCTCAACAACACGTTTCCATTCCAATTCGCGTTGTGACCATTCCATTTCACGTTGTTTCATTTCCAACTGACATTGTTTTCGTGCCTCCGCAATTGCACGGTTCTTTTCATTTTCCATATTTTTACGCATTTCTTCTAGCTGTTTGCGTAATTCGTCTTGTGCCATTTTACTTTTTTCCAATTCGATTGTGGCCAGAGATAATTTGGCCGGCAAACTGGTGTCATCGTGTTGCGTTAAATCGCGTATCGTATCTTCAATGGCATTCATAAATTCATAGGTTACCTAGCAGGAGGAGAAAAGTAAATCAGTGGGGAAAGGTTTTTTAATTTATCTGTTTAAAATAATTTTTAGATAGCTCAACAGAGGTTGACATTGGAAGATCATTATGGGAAACCCTTGAGGTTTTCCTATTAGAAAATTTATAGATTGCTCTTCATATTGGCTCATTATATTGTGAATTCTATAATAGGTCCCATGATCTTCTTTCCTACTCGAGTCTTTTTATTGGAAGAATTAGAGATTGTGGAAAACCTTGAAATCTCCCAGATAATGACAGGTTTTCCTATACATCTTACACGAGAGATCTTATTGGTATTTTTTTTATTGGTCTTTTTTTTATTATTGGAAGACTTTTAGGTTATGGGACCCAAGAGATACCTATTTTTTCAAAGCCTTTTTTAAAAACCCCAAGAAAGGGTTGGGATTCTTGGTACTTTTGAAACCAAAAAATATCTCAACTTCTTTTCAAACTCACCTTAAAGGCATTTTCAAACAGACGCGTATGCACAGGTCCAGCCTGTGTGGGAAGTATTGGACGATTCTCGGCCGTTTGTAGAATTCCTTTGGGTCGAGCCGTTAATTTGGGTAATGCTCTTATTGGACCATCCGCCGTAGATGTTATTCTGAGAGGAGGTATTTGAGTATCTGTAGATTGAATTGGTGTACCCGAAACAATTGTTGTGGTTTCCAGGGGAGGTGGTCCACCACTGCCATCATGATGGATATTATTATTAAAATTTACACCAGAAAGACCAGCCAAGGGTGGAGGGGTTGTTAATCGTAAAGGATTTATGGGATTGGTTGTAATCGCCGCAGATGATGTTGCTGGTGTGGTATTGGCGGTGGTGGTGGTGGTGGTAACGGCGTTGGCAACGCTGACTAACATACGTGTTGTGTTGTTACCTATAGTTAGGGGAGGTGAGTTTGAAGATGTCGTTGTTGTTGCTGGAGTTGATATTGTGCTAGATGCTGCAGATACCAAAACCAAAGGTGTCGGCAGACTTCCAGCTGTACCCGAAACTGTAACCGTTACTGGATTATGCCGTGCCATAGAACTCAACGTTTGACTTGAGTGTGATACCGTTTTCGATACCGCTGTCAGCGGTGGTACGGGTATGGGAGACATTATGCTACGCGTCGTGGAGGCAATATCAACCGGTATTGTTACCATTGTATTACTGGACATCGGTCGTGTATTACACACTTCCAGGTTGTTGGTTGGAGAATCTAATAGCTCTTTTGATTTTTCTGTGTTATTTTTTGTTTGCGGTTCATTGTGGGAGCCATCGGTGTTTGGTGGTTGAGAAAATGCTGAAGCTGGAAGTGGGCCATATGGAACACCCTTTAAAACATTTCGTTTGTTGTTTGATGGATTTGCGGGAAGATTTCGAAGGGATATTTTTTGTATGGTCGTATCACCAACAACACGTATTTCATTTTTGGTGTTTGTTGTTATTGCAGGCGTCGTTGTTCCGGTTGTAGGGTTCGAAGACTTGGCCGCCCTTTCCTCTTCTTCGTCGGAAAACACTTCCTCTTTAACACGAGCCAAAAGGACTGGAACTGTTGTATTTCCATTAGTAGTTTCCTTTTGCGGCGAATTACTTTGAGAGGACAATGTTTCTTTGGACATAGACCTCACGCCAGGTAAAGTGGAGGCATTTGCTGCAATTGTTGTAGGGGTTTCTTTATGTGTTGCCATTGATGGTGTTGCTTCTTTAGGTTTCTCTGGTGATTGTGATTCTTCTTCATTGTCGGAAGTCACTTCCTGTTTTATTTCCACAAATGGCACTAAACCTTTTAGAATGATATTCACCTGTTGGTCCTGTTTTTGTTTTTCATTCGCATTCGGTTTGGTTTTCGATATTAAGGTTTCGGTGGGCTTTTCCGCCACCACCTTTGTTGTCGTTGCAACGACATTTGTGGGAGTAACTAGTCCTTCTGGTTGTTTTTGTGCCTCCACATTGTTTAGAGACTCAGGCATAGCAACTGGAGTTGTGTCCTTGTTGCTGATCTTTTTTATGGTCACTCCTTGTTTGTTTTTAACTAAATTTTCTACAACCTTTTGAGCGCTAATTGTTGCTGCAGAAGGGGCGGGGGTAGATGAAGTGGATATATTTTCCTTTGATACCGATTCCGTCCCTAAATCATTGGCTGGTGGGGTTGCAGTTCCTGGTAAACCTTTCGTAGTGTTATTATCTTTTTCTACATCATCACTAGGCGTCGTCTGCATTTCCTTTTCCATGGTCTGATCACATTTGGAGGTTATTGTACTAGTTTTTATGGTTAGCACAGGAATCTTTTGTTGCTCGGCTGCTGCTGCCGGTTTTCCATTGCCAATGTTTCTTATACATTTATTTTTATCAATTTCTGCTTTCCTTTTGGCGGTGGCCTCATCAAAGCTAACCGCTTCAATTCTTTGTAATTTCGGTAAACACAATTCCGTGTGGTCCTGATCTTCGTTATCATCATCAGCAGCATCAAAGTCTTTATCACCGTAATTCTTTTTAGTACCCCCACCATCATTAAGATTATCCGATTTACGTTTAAGTATCACAGTACCTAGCTTGGAAGGATGACTGCTATCATCAGAGGAGCTCTTGGAGATTACCTCATATTTTGCAGACGGCTGTTTATCATTTGTTTGTTTTTCTTCCTCCTGGGAGGTGATGGAACAAAGTTTCCTTTTCTTAGAATTATTGTGGTTTTCTTCAATTTCGTTTTGCTGCTGCTGAGCTATTAACAAATCCGGTGTGCTCGAAGCCTTTTGTACAATCGACATATTATTATCCGCAGTTTTATATATTTTAAATTGCAATGGCGGTTTGATGACGGCTTGATGCTGCTGCCTAATGAAATCCTGTACACCCGGCATCATTTCCTCCAATTGACGCATTTCATCCGCCGGATCAAATGGTGTCTTAAATGGTGCATAATTAAAACCACCCACTTTGTTTTTTATATTTTCAATGTGTTCCTCCACCTCCTTCATACAACCGGCCAATTCTCGGGCGGCTTTCTTACCCGTTTGGGTATTTGGATCTTGTTCGGAATATAGGAAACAATCTTTGGCCGATACAAATGCCCGATCATGTTCACCAAAGAAACGTACATTAACCAATGATGTCTGACCTATACCCATTGCTTTGGCTGGCCAATAGGGAAACCCCTTTAATTTGGCCCACAGCAATATATGTGGTTGCGAGCAAACATCGACAAACCAATCGGTGCGGGTATTTGCATTTTGGTAGCACTCGGCACAGGTTTCAATTTCGATGGCTTCTTGGCGGCAGATTTTGAGTATATTTTTGGCACATAAAACCAGTTTGTTGTTATCTATTCGAACAAAAAATCAAGTCAAAAGGAAAAAAATATTAGATTTTGTTGTTGGAGAGTCATGTTTAAACACAATGACATACTTCCTGCCGTAATAATATACGCATTGTGTAACATCCATTTTGTATCATTAACAAGTTCCTCGGCACAGCGATACTCTTTGGAATTGATTTTCTCCTGAAGCGTACCAAAATGCACCGGATTGATAATGTATTTTTTATAGATGTTTGTCTTTTCATAGGGCATCACAAAAGTGTAATTCTGAAATGAAATTATTAAAGAGCAAAAAAAGGAACATTAATAAAATAACAGAAAACAAATTCGATAAAAAGTTACTCGTAAAAGGTTATTAATAAAATAAATAAATAAAAATAATCTTTGGAAATCGCTATATATAATTATAGAGGGTAAAAATTTTGTTTCCATGTTGATAACCAACAATACTGTTATAATTTTTATACTTGGTTAGCATTGGGAGTTCTAAAATCCGAAACGACACAAGTTGTACTTGGCCAACGTGTGTCATATCAGTCCATTGTGTGAAAGCAATAGGGCTGCTACAACAACAACAAGTTTTGTAAGCTATTTTCTACACATTTTTCGAATTTGATGATTTTCTTTATGATAAATACATTTTAGGTGGATAAGATCAAGGGGAGAAATATTCCCCACAAAATTCTACTATGAGTCCACGAACACAAGAAAGCTTTATTTATAACCCATATATCAATAATGACCCTTAACAAGTTGTAATGCCTATAACCAAGAATATTGAAAAATTGTTTGTACTTGTTTCAAATTGATGAAATTTCTCCAATAAACCTACATTTTAGCAGGATGACACCAAGGACATAAATATTCTTCATCAAATTCTACTATGACTCAACGAACATAAGAAATCTCTATATATGATACATATATCGATAAGGATAAAAACAAATTTTGTATGTCTATATCAAATAATATTGGTGCATGTTTTATACTTGTTTCGAATCTGAGGCATTTCTCCAATAAATCTATATTTTAGAGAGGAGTGGTTAAGGGAAAAAATATTCTCCACCAAATTCTACCATAGGTCACAAAACATAAAAAATCTCTATATATAATACATACATCAATAAATTCCAAAAACAAATTACATATACCAATAACCTAGAGTTAATTTCTAAAGTTTTTTTTTATGTGGTGATAAAAACATGTATTTCCATTAAATACTATTTTTATCTAGTTTCTTTCAATTAAAAAAATATTTAACCTAACCCCAAAATTTTTGTTTAGCCTAGAAAAAAATTACATATCATATTGATTCAGATGACTATATAGAAGAATAAAACGTATGCATTTTCACACAAATACAAGACAACAAGAAAAAAGGTGTAAAGAAAGCGAGACTGTGTAGAGAAAAATAAAACAGCATGGGAGAGAATGATGCAAAGAGTGGCAAACAAACATCGAATGAAAAAAAAAAGAAAACAACAATAATAATAGTACTCAGAGATTCCGTTGAGAATAATGAACGAATGAAAAAGTCTACAAAGTCTACCAATACACATAAATATATTACACAAAATGGGAGATAGTGAATACTCACAAATACAATGAAACAAAACAACAATGAAAATGCTAAATAATAAAATAACGACAATGGATGGCGATGAAAAAAAAAATAAAATATGATACACCACGAGAGCTTACTAATTAAAACAAAATTAATGTAGAATACTTTTTTGTAATAATAGTAATTAAGTAGAAAACATGTTCCACATCAACTAACTAATTAAAAAAAACTTTTAAACATAACCTATAAATGAAATGATTAGTTTCAATTTATATCTAATGTATAATATTATAATACATATTTGAAATTAATTAATATTTCATTCATATACATACCCCTTTGGCAAAACGCATACGCTTTAAAGCAAATGTCAATAATTGACTTAACAAGTCCACCGACAATTCATTGCGTCGTGACCTGAAAATTCAACATATTATAGCACACGAACAATAAACATCAGCGCCAGCAATGAACGATGATGATGACGACGACGATGGCGATGACAAAGTGCCAAGCATACAACAGATGGAGGAGGAAGAAGAAGAATACAAAAAACTTGTTTAGTTTATTTTTATCACATTAGAAGAAATATTTCAAAAAACCTATTGCGAATACTTACTTTTTGGTACTATTTAATATATTCTCAATTGAGGAACATTCCGTACACATCCATGAGCTATCCATTTTGGCTTTAACACATGTTGTATGAAAGCTGCGTATACATTTCGAACAGTATATATCGACATCGGCATCATGACATTTCCAACAGAAACTATCTGAACCGGGCTGAAATGAAATTCAGCAAAAAAAAAAAGGTTAGGTTATGTTCTAAAATCATGTGACTAAGGAGGTAAATGGGGTTCTATACTATGTAGGTACCAATAATACACAAACCTATTTAATTCTTTAATAATTTAATTCTGAAATGCGTGTAAACATTTGAAATAATTGATTTTGTGGAATTTTTAAAACAAAACTACATTTTAGAGGAATGGGATCCAAGGAGGAAATATTCTCCATAAAATTCTACTATTAGTCACCGAACATAACAAACCTCCATACTTAATGCATATGTCAATAAAGACCAACAACAAATTATGTATGCCTATAACTAAGGTTGTTGGGGGCAATTTTCAATACTTCTCTGAATATGGTAGTATTTCGCACCTAAATTTACATTTTAGGGGTATTGGGCCAATGTAAGAAATATTCTCCACAAAATTCTACTATGAGTCACCGAACATAAAAAATCTCTATATATGATGCATGCACCAACAAAATCTATTACCAAAATTCGACTGTCTATTACCAAGAATATTGGTCCAAAGTTGACTAGTTTTTTTCCGTTATGGTAGTATTTTTCCAATTAAACTACATTTTATGGGGATGGAACCAAGGAAAGAAATATTCTCCACAAAATTCCACTATGAGTCACAGAACATAACAAAACTCTATATTTAATGCATATGTCAATAAAGGCAAACAACATATTGTGTATGCTTATATCTAAGATTATTGGTGCAATTTTCAATACTTTTTTGAATTTGGTAGTATTTCGGATCTTAATTTTCATGCTAGGGGTATTGGCCAATGTAAGAAATATTCTCCACAAAATTCTACTATGGGTCACCGAACATTAGATATACCTTTATCTAATGTACGTATCAATAAAGACCAATAACAAATTAATTATGAATCTTATTGTCATTTTTACATTTATTTCGATTTGGTGATATTTCTCTACATTTTAGGGGGATGGAACCAAGAAGAGAAATATTCTCCATAAAATTCTGCTAAAAGTCACTGAACATAAGAAATCTCTATATCTAATACGTATATCAATAAAGGCTAAGAACAAATTTTATGTATGCTTGAAACTATGAATATTGATATATTTTTTATAACTGTTTCGAATTTGTGCCGTTTTTCGAATAAAAATTCTTTTTAAGGATATGGAAGCATCTGGAGAAATATTAGTAGTAGAAATATTCTGTATCAAATTCTACTAAAAGTCTCAGAACATCGGATTTATATCCCTTACATAAATCAATTAGCCCTAATTACGCTTGCTATCGTAAAATTATATTTCCGAAATCACATGTGTAATGTTTTTTGTTAGGAAATCACACTTACCTTTGGCGGTGGTTGCCAAACTTTTTTCAAATGTTCAATATTCTCAGCAAATACCATAGATTTTGACAAATCTCCACCACTGTCATTCAAAGAGGATGAATCATCCGCATCACCTCCACCTCCACATGGATGATCATTTGTATTTTCCGTATAATCCATTGACATCTTCGCATCATCATCGGGTCGCATACGTTTTGTTAGCTTCTCTCGCGATTTAGAACGTGAACGACGTCGATGACTTGATGATATATCACGTAATTTTTTATCCTTTGCTGAGGTTGGTGTAGTTGTTGTCGATGAGGTCGCCGATGTTGTCTCCGGCCCCGTAGAACGTGAACGTGTTTTTGGCGGTGTATCTTGTGTCGAATTAATAATATGCTGTAAAAATTCTTTTTGTTTTTGTACAAATTCGGAATTTTCCGAACGCATATTCGATCTTTTACTGGCCTGGTGATGCAGCTGTTGTTTTTGTTGATGCGGTTGCTGATCTTGCTGCTCGCTTGTTTGTAAATTCTCTTCAGATGGCCATTTGTTACCTAGATCAAAGGTTGTGGAACAATTACTATTATCACTATTGTAGAAACTTTTGCTGCGTGATCGCCAACGACGACGCCAATTGGTAGAGGGTGGCGATTCATCATCAGCACCCTTTAAGGAGATTAAACGACGTTTTATACGATTGCTTTCCTCGCCGTGCAATTTTTCATTAGATGAATTCTGATTACTGTGTGATGTATACGAATGATCATTGGACGTTGTGGTTGTTGTAGAAATATTGTTGGTGGTGTTATTATTGGTAGCAGTGGATGATGAATTGCTGTTATTTAAATTTTTCGCTTTGGCCTTACGTGTCCTCTCCATCATGGCATCGGTTACGAATTTTTTAATAATTTTCGAATCATTTTGGGTTTGTTGTAATGCCACATATTCCCGTGACAAAGGCGTACTGCTACGCGGTTGATGTTGCTGATTCTGCTGTTGCTGTTGTGTGGGGGATACCGGCAATTTGTCATCACAGGAATTTTCCAATTTGGATGTATTACTCGATGATGAGGATGATGCTGTTGTTGTTGCTGTTGCGTTTGTGATTGTTGGCGGAGAATGTTGTGAATTTTGTGCAAAACTTTGCGCCAATTTTTTGGCTGTGGATATTTTAATTTTCTTTATTAGTCCACTATCATCTTGCACAATACGTGGTGCTGCCCAGGAATATGACGAAACATTTAGTGATAGTTTTTCCGAATTTTGTGTAATTATAGCCGTATTGTTATGTGAATCGGCAAATTCTTTGTTATAGTTGTTGGTACTATCCGCTGTGTTATTACCACTTTCACTCATGTCGTCAATGTGTGACGAACTATCAACGTAGGGCACAGAAGTGGGCAGTGTTCCATTGTTACTGCTAGTGATTGTATCTCTATCCATATTTCGGGTATTTTTAATTTTCCTGAAAAAAAAAAAACAAATTAATATAAAGAAAATGTTAAAAATATATTTTTAAGAGGACATTTCTACGACATACACTCATTCCATATTCATTGTCATGACAGAGTTAACCTCAAAATCCTCTTATTTTCATCCTACATAAATTATTTTTTTATTTTCTTTTCAATCAACAATTAGTCTCCAAGTGAAGAGCGGTGCAGCCATCTCAATTATTGGGTGCAGCAAAGTATTTCAAAAATCGTTAACTGTCATAACATAGAAACTCCTATATATAATGCATATATCAGTAAAGGCTAAGTAAAAATTATCTATACGTCTATAATTATGAATATTGTTGTCATTATTATATATGTATATTTCCATTTGGTGACATTTCTCCAATCAATCTACATTTTAGGAAAATGGAACCGAGAAGAGAAATATTCTCCATAAAATTAATATTGATATATTTTTATAACTGTTTCGAATTTGTGTCATTTTTCGAATAAACTATGAGTCACTGCACTTAAAAAACAATTTCTATATATTATGCATATGTCGATAAAGATTATCAACTAATTTTATTGTTTAAATCAGAATATCCTAGTGCTGCTTTCATCACGGGGTCATAAACTTATGTCAGAACTTCCATAATAATAAAAAGTGATCTTTTCAATTTAATCAACTGTGAATCTAGCGGAATACCAACAAAAACAGCTGATTGCAGCAACCGTCTATCTCCATTACCAATCGGTCAAAGAATTCCATTTTTTAGAAAAATGGGATGGGATTGTCCTTACGTGTTTCCCAATTTCTTGATGCAAATGCTCATTAGAAAGAATTAATCAAATATCTATGTGTTATTTATGTAGGATGTAATAAAAGTCAGCTATTTTGCGACAGAATGGTTGTTCCATAAGCAGAGCTTAAAATCCAATTTGAAAGACCCTGTTCCGAGATGTTCCATCACTTGGATCGCTTTTATAATAAAGCCGCGTACTTAAAATATAGAGAAAATTTGCGTGATTTTTTTAAAAATATCCCGCCACACATTCCCACCAGACCTGCGAACCGTGAAGTTGAATCAGTAATACATTTTTTGAACAATTTCGAAACCTTCGTTATGTTACCAGACTTGTGTAAAGGAATCATATAGGATTTCTTCTAGAAGTTGTAAATATAACTATATTTTAGGGTATAATAAAATAGCACCATCAAATCGGATAGCCAATGAACCCGAACAATACTTTAGAACTATGTTAGGAATTTTAGGAACTTTTAATTTGAGTTGGGCAATCTAGTTCACTGAGCTATCTTCTCGTTCCTTTTTTTAAGTAATGAGTATAGTTCCTACTCCTAGATAGTACATTTGTCTCTCTTTCTTTCATTTAAGACTTTCTGATGCGAACAGACATCACGTAACAGGATCTTCGAATGTTACCAAAGTATGGAAGTTATTTCTTGGTTATTATGTAACCAAGATCTCAATCGCTTCAAAATAAACGGAACTTTGGAGGCCAATATCTCGAGAAACAATTTATATTGTTTAAAACAGAATATACTAGTGCTGATTTTAGCATAGGGCCATAAACTTATGTCTGAACTTCCATAATAATAAAAATTTATCTTTGCCATTACATTGCTAATAGGCATCCGGATGCTGACACCTTTGCTAATATGTCTCAATAAAAGAAATTGCAAAAGTTTTTTAAATGATTTTCTCAACAACAATAATACAATTTACTTACATAAGTTATATGGTTATTGAACTTCTACTTATATATAAAAAAACAAGTTTGCGTTGTTTCCAAAAATTTTAATTTTTTCGGCATTTAGTTCCTTCTTCTGTTCTTCTGCTTGGAATAGATTTTCATTAAAGTAACTGAAAAAATACATAAAAAAGTGTATCTTATTAAATTTCTTGTTTTGAGAAGTAACCACAATAAAAACATAAATAATAAAATGTACTAATGAATCTTCGGGTTCAGCTGATTCGTGTTGAATCGTATCGTATTCTATGTTGATTCGTGGCCTTTCATTAATGTTTTTGTTGCTTTGTTGTGCATAATTTTGTTGTGTGTACTTGTTATTTTTTTTATTATTTATTTTTTGTTGTTTTCATCTGATACTGTTCCGTCGCAGCCACCGCCAACTACGACGACTACTCACATATGTAATCATCATCTCTTCCATAAAAACAACTTTAACGCTGATGGTGCCACCCGCCGCTGTTGTTAGTTGGCGTATCGAAACATGTCCAAGAGAAATGTCTAATAAAACAAAAATCACATACCATCATTTCGTCGTGTAAGGTGAAGAAAATCCAAATACGCAAAATATAATAATGCAAAACTAAATAAAACAAATCAAACTGTTTTCAATAACACTGAGCAAAAGAATAGCCAACAAATCAACCAACCGCTCACCGTAACAATAACGAAGAGAAGGCCAAACCGAATAAGACACAAACTGGAATCCACAACCAAAATAGTATGAACCACACATTGGCCGAAGCTCAATACTAAACCACATGGCAAAAAATTTTGTTTGTCGTTAAATAGAGAATACTCTATCTTGCCGGGTTGCCTCTCCATTTCTCTCAAAATATATATTCAGTGTGTGGTGTTTGTTTTGTTTTGAAAAGAGAGTGGTCGGCGGATATCTCAAATACACAAGAATGTAGTGCATTTTATATTTTTAACACATATTCACACGCACACATATAAACACACCCTGCACGACGTATATACAAAGAGTGGGAGTTATATAGAATGCTGTGATTTTTTTAATTTTTGGAGACTTTTTTTTGGTTTTGGGAATTTGAAATATTGGCTTTATATTTACTATAGGGAATTGAGTAGAGGGAATAATTTATATCCATAATTAATAGTTTCATATATTTTTTAAAAGACTACAACATCAACTGTAAATCTAGCAGAATATCAACAAAAACAGCTGATTGTGGTAACCGTCTATCTGCTTTACCAACCGTTCCAGGAATTCAATTTTGTAGAATAATGAGAAGCCTATGGGCCGGGATTGTCCCCACATATTTCCCAATTTCTTGATGCAAATGTTGAACCAGTAGAAAGCTGAATTAATCAAGGGTCTATGGGTTATTTATGTAGGATGATCAATACCGCGGCCCAAAATGCAATAAAGTCGCGAACTATAAATATAGAGAAATTTTGCGTCATATACGGCATTTTTTCGACGGATCCCCCGCCTAACTTTCAGTAATACATTTTTCGAACAATTTTGGAATAGCACTTAATCTTGCTCTTTTCATTTATAATTCAAGACATTGGTTAAGCTATCAGACTTGTGTAAAGGAATAATATAGGATTTCTTCTAGAAGTTGAGAAAATACTAAATTTCAGAGAGTAATAAAATAGCAGCATCAAATGGGATAACCAATGAATCCGAACAATACTTTAGAATTATGCTAGGGACCTGGATTTTTAATTAGATTTGTTTTTTTTTTTGATTTTAATTAATTTCTATTTAATAGAATATTCAGATGCTACAAAATTTAACTGCAAGACAATTAGCACAAAATGTTTTTTTTTTTTTTTTTAATTACATATTTATCTATGTGACAGTAATTGGACTATACTTATATAAACATGCAGGCTTATCTCTTAGCCGTTAATTGTTTCTGCCCAGTTCAATATGGAGAACCAAAAGAAGCATTTACGTCAAAGGACACTGTAGACGGGAGTGGTACTACAAGCATGAGGACCGTCCGCAATTGGTTTAAGAAATTTGCAAATCAAGACTGTGCTCGCTGAAAATCCGCGATATAGTATGCGCACATTTTATCAAGATGGGATATGCAAATCGGTAGGAAAAGGGAAGAAACTTATGAGACAACCTAATATAACCAAAATCATGAAACAATTTTGGATTGGAACCCTTTTACATTCTGATCGCAAACATTAAGAAACATATTTACGTTCTGGTAACATTCCAGCCCTCTGAGGCAAATGAGCTAAATTTCAGATCTTTCTAGAAATTCCTTAACAAATACATTAGCAGGTCAAAATTCTCTCGATATTAAAATCGCAATGCATACTTTCTTGTATTGCGATTTTAAAAGATGATCTACTTTCTGAGCATGCAGACCGAAGTTTATAACAACGTAAACTCAAATTTCCATCGATTTTTGATTTTATGAAATTATTTATATCCTCAACCGAAGTATCTGCTGCAAACCTATCCACACATATCATTCCCATGGTGGGAGCCATAGTTAAAGGTCTTTGACTAGGTTAGAGGGAATTGAGAATGTTAGAGTCCACAAAGGCCACAAGGCATACATTGGTGTAACAGTGTTGGCGAACACTTAGGCCTCTTTTTACTGAGGAACAAAATACGATTCTAAATTTTCAATCATTATTTGATCATTTGGTTCAGTTTCGGGTGACAAGAATTAGATAATGTGGTTCGGGCGAGACATGCTAAAGCCTTATTCAGACTAGCGACTACATGCACCCTGGCTTTATTTTGATACAGTAATATAATCAGTCCTGACGAAGATACAATATCTCCTCTAGATGATCTGGATAAATAGTATAAACGGTATCAAGATCCATCCAACAATCATTGCAGTGATTTTAAAGCGGAGATTCGAACAATCAAAAAAGTTAGGTAAATATTAAACCGTATCGATCTCACGGCGGCCCATATATTCGAAAACAAAACGCTATTTGTTAGACGCCTGAACAAAGAAATATACGTGGGAATGAATTAGATCGAAGAGGTTTTTAAAGTACCACTCGAGTACAGTTCGAATCCCAACTGGATGCAGCTCCAAGTAGCGAATTATTATGCAGGTCAACAAACTACCGAGTGGTATTGCTCTCTTTCAATATAGCGATGCGTTCTTTAAGGAAGCCAATACTTGACGTTCGCAAATAGATTTCTTCCTAACGTTCCTGTTTTACATGTTTCAGGGCTTTTCACGCTCGAGTTTAAAGCCTTCCGTATTCAACAAACCTCTCTTCTGGAACACTTCACAAATTAAAAGTTTTCAAATATTTTGAGAACTTTCTGAATCATCAAAAGACACAGAGAGTTTTGTGGAGACTTCTTGCATATAGAAGAACTCTACAAAACCACAACAAACAGATATTTATTTTTTTGTATATCAAAGATATACCTGTCTGTCAACGAGCTAATCCCACGAAAATCGTGCTGTTGCCACAAACCCATAATAACAAACAGCAATAATAATCATGAAAAACCGAATTAGAAAAAACAAGAAAAGAAAGAAAAAAGAAATATACAATATTCAAAGACCTCAAACCAATACCACAACAACAACTACACGAAGAATAACAATATCATGATGAACACAGCAGTAGTAGAAAGCAAGCAGCAATTGTTGAATTGATGAAAAGCAAACTCTACATACAAATAGATGTGTGTACATATGTAATGTAAATTGTACGTGTACAATTGTTCATACAACCATAATTATATACAAATTATACAAGTTTACTGTAATGGCCATAGATTTGATAGATTTGTACTACGGATAATGGCTTTAGTCTATGGTGAAGGTATTCCTCGACACTGCAAAGTTATGGATTGTGGCTATTTGACATATTCCATACGTACACACATAATTGACCACTTTCCGAAATGATTTACCAGCACCCAGTAACAATCTATAGGAATCCAAAGTCTACAAATGGTGCACACCACGATTTTATGATTTTGATATTTTGTTATGGAGGAAAATAGGAAAATTATTGAATTGATTTGAAATGTATATATTAGAGTACATACTTGTAATTACACTGGACAGTTAGCTTAACCAGAAGCTATATATGTATCTTCTTCTTGTTCCTATCACACTTCCATCTGAAAAAATCCCATTCCGGTTGTCGAATCCATTGTTTTATAAATCCTTTTTTTTGGGATTGGTGTCTGGGGCTGACTGGCTGGATGTTTGGTTGGTTGATGGTGCAACACTAGTTCCTCCTCTGTTGATATTTTGCACTTTTTTTCTTGGAGACTTGAACAATATTTCCTGTTTCTTGTGAGAGCGTCTGTCCGATACCACAGCAGCCTGTATTATTATTCTTCTTCTTCGGCAGCAGCAGATTTGCCAGTATGTTGTTTGTCTGGTTGCTATTTTTTCTTCGTTTTTTGCTTGCTTGTTTGCTAATTTCAGATAATGTGCGTACAAATGTCTCTCAAGTCCGTCGTGCAAGCCGATACATTTCAATGGTTACTCGTTTTGTTATTGTTTTGAATCGGTTACTTGCTATCAACAATTGTGAAACAATTACAAAAAGAATACTCGTTATCCTCCTCCTCAAGCAAAGGCATTTTGAGAATAATTTCCCAGATTGTGGGTGCTTGGTAATTTAAGGAAGAGGAAGGAAGAATATATAGTTGAGGTTATGTTGGGTTCCAGTCAAATCTTTTTCATTACTATGACGTAAAATGTCAAATTCTATGTATTCATATGATATTCATGTTATATTCAAAATGACTAGTCGGTAGCTCCCACATGATGATAACCTCTAGAGGCGTCCACCATCATTTTTTTAGACTTACAAAACGTCTTACCATTTCGTCTCTTATCGCACGCTCTAGGTAATAAGAATCTATACACCTGTACTGGGTCTCAAATAAACTCTAGAAGCCATATAAAATCTCTAACCTTATCTCTCCTGTCATTTATAACTTTTAATGCCATAAACCAATCGGGCTTTGGAATTTGTACATGAGTGTTGGACCTCTATTGTCTTCCAGAACACTCAAGACCACGGTTTCCCAGATTATTTCATAATTCTTGAATCCCGTACTATACCGGCCCGAATCTTGGCGGGCCCCAGCAGATTCACCAAACGTTGCTTCAGAAACCTACACTATTCTTTTGATGTCCGAGCAAAATGGAATTTCCTGGATATCAGCCCCTCACTATATACCTGGGAATAGAATACCCGAATAAAGACCAAACTTCCCAGCCGCGGCAGTAGGATTAACAAATAAGCATTATAAGAATCATACTGAATCAGAGAAATTACACTGGAAGTCAATAGATTGTAGGCGATAATAAGTGGAAAACGTGACTAGTGGTGTTGTGGACTTCTATTCCATTTAATGGCGCAGATGTGGCTGACCGTAGAAGTGCTTGAATTCTCTTTACCGACATTTATAGAACATCCCGAGACCGTGGAGCCACAACACTTTACGTCGGATGTTGTTGCAAGTGTCATCAGAAGCGAAATATCATCCGAGGTACTTGATCCTGATTCACATGCTCACGAAGAATGAAGCCAAAAACATGAGTTTGTCCTCGGAAAAATATACTTTAACAAATGTATATTCTTCTATATCTGCGCTTCCCCTGGACCCGTAAAAAATTTTCTTTGAAAATTCGATGCTTCTCTTGGCCTTTAAACATGTTTTTTGGAGAACATTTGCTTTTTCTATCCCCGTTAAACTCCTCTTTAGAATATACGCTTCTCCTGGACCCGCATAAAAAATTTTTTGAAGAATGTAGGCATCTCTTGACCAGTACAAAATATTATTTCAAGAATCCACGCTTTATCTGAACCCGTAAAAATATTATTTTCACAATCCAAGCTTCTCCTGGACCCGAAAAAAATATTCTTTGAAAAATATACGGTTCTCCGTGCTCGCATAAAATATTATTTGTGGAATATACGCTTCTCTTGGCCCTTAATAATATTCTTTGAATAATCTATTCTTCTCCTGGTCCCGTAAACAATTTTCATTTCAAGAATCTACACTTGCCTTGGTCCCGTAAAAAGAATCTATGCTTCCGTAGCCCAGTAAATAATATATTCTCTTGGCTCCTAAAAATTATTTTTAAAGAATTTACGTTTCTCCTGGTCACGTAAAAATATTTTTTGAAGAGTGAACACATCTCATGAACCGGTACAAACAGCATCTGTTACCCTCTAAATAAATATTTTTTAAAAGACTCGCGTTCTCATTGGTCCTTCAATTAAAAACGTTAATTTTAGTTTAAAAAAAATATACATACATTTTTTAACCTCTAAAGGTCCTTTAACATATTTAAAAACTAATTTTTGTTGTAGCGATGGATAATTAACTCACACACCTACAATTGCTTCCTTGGTATATACATGCTTTTGCACACCATACGAAAGTGTATTGATGATTCTGAACGATAAGTGGTCTAGCAATATTTGAGTTGCTCTGGAAACCTAGGTTGGAATTCTAGTCATGCTCAGCTGGAATAATTTTAATGTTTAAGTAAGTTTTTTTTTCATTCGAGTCGAGCTTAATGATCGATGTTTTGCAATATATAAGTTCACCTTTATAATAACCTTCAACATGATATTTTCCATTATATATTTGTTTGTTTCTTTCAAATGTTTCTTTTATTTGTCTACAATATCAAATTTTTATAACTAAAGAAGAAAAAAAAATTAAACACCATAATAGTTTAAAAGCATAATGGTGTCTATAAATACATGATGATTTGATATAAAAATCAATACAGAACAATAATAGTTTAAAAGCATAATGGTGTCTATAAGTACATGATGATTTAATATAAAAATCAATATAGAGGAGGAGTGTTTGTTTATTGCATAAGCGCAAGTGTCATAGAATTTTTTTCTTAGCTCATCTATAGTTCAACATTATTTAAATTTGAACCCGACGAAGAGGGTAAATCAACATCACTAGGTGGTATAAAGAGACCTTTACTCTGTACAGATTTATTTTTTTCGGATAATTTCAGCATTTCCATGCGCAATTTATCCAAAATGGCATAATTGGGTTGATTAATGGCAGCCTTACTTTGTAGAACAGTGATTTCTTGTTCCTCTTGTTTCTTTTCCTTGAAGGTTTTTATGGAATTATTGCCATAGAGACGTAGCAACGAACCCCAAGTTTTAATATGGGGATGGAGTATCTAAAAGGTTGGACATTTTTAATTAATATTTTATTTGATGAGGTGACTCGTTTAACTTACTTGCAGAATAGCCTGTGAGGCCAGCTGTTTACCCTCCCGCTTATTTTTACACAATACTTTGGCTGTGTGCTTACCCACCGTCATGGTGAACTCATTCTTTTTACTATGCGTCCGATTGATTTCATAATTGATTTGTACATCCTCGCCGAGGCCATAGTTTCGTTGCAAACATGTCAGCAGTATGGCATGTGGTGTTGGCTCTGTGGTCTTATTACAAAATTCCGTAACACGAGGATCTTCTATTCGTATATCATCAAAGACCTGAAAAGAAAAACTGCGGTATTAGAAAAACTCATAATAAAGTTAATTTCGTTACCCAACTCACCGATAAATCTTTTTGATTACTCCTTGCCACGGCACTTTTATCCTGTTTCACTCCCGTTATTTTATCCTTCATTTCGGGTATGAGAATTTCCAATGTCTCTCTGGCCGCTTCCGATTTGGCTTGTCGCTTGCTGGTACCATAACCAGTGCCATATTTCAAATCATTTATCGACACCGTGGCCGCATAGGGTGTGGCAGCATTTTCCAATTCCTTAAACTCATATGTGGGCTGTTTCTTCAGGGCATGCTGTACATATTCGTGCAGAATACAAACATAACTTTTTCCACTGGGATTCATAATCCATTCGCGTCGAGCCCGAGGATTTGATTTACCATCACCCGGCACCAGTACGGGAAACTTAATCAGCTTTGTACCATCCGGCAGTGTTGGTCTTTGTATATTCTTCAGATTTTTACGATTTTTGGTAAATTTACGCCGAGCATTCCACGAACGAAAACGTAACACTCGTATAACACGAAACTTGAAAAGTTTCTGACAATATTCATTGAATTGTTCAGGGGTAAGAGATTCTTTTTGGATATTCTCATTGACGGTGACAATTTTGGCAGCCGGCACAAGGCTGCGTAATTTTTCTTTATCCACATCGGAAGATTTGCCGCCTTCAGTATCATTGGCTGGTGTTGTGGTTGTTGCAGCAGAATCTGTCGTGGCAGCTTCAGTCATTTCTACATCATTGGAATTTTCTTGAATGCCATTTTGTAGTTCGCCACTATTGCCATCGGTACCTATGGCTGTTGTTGTTGCAGCAGAGGATGAAGTTGTAACATTATTTTCCTCTGTGCTTGATGTGGCTGAAAAGCCAAATGGACATTTGCTATTTGTAACTGTTGATGAGGATACGGCAGCCTCGCTATTGCCATTTCCTTCATCAGTTTTGGCAGTTTCTTCGGTAGATTTTCTCAGTTCAGCTTCAGCCTCTTCGGCCAAGGCTCGTCGATAATTTAGGCAGGGTATTGAACCAACCGGTATTGCATGTTTCTGAAAAAAGAAGAAGGAAAATTAAGCAAATCAAGAGAAGAAGAAAATTATGAAGACAACATTAAACTGTTTGTAGGATATTTTTTTCAAGGTACATTCTAGGCAAGAATATTTTTCTAAGGGCCTACCAAAGCGTAACTTTTTTTAAGAATTTATTTTAAAGTACCAACGGAAGCTATTTTTTCTGCCATCATTTAATTTAATTTTTGTCTACATTAAATTTGTTATTTAATCTTAAATTAAGCTCTAAATAAATATACCTTACCCTTGCACTACCGGTTCCCAAAAAATACGGTCTTGTTGTTGAAACAACTCGTGTCTTTTTGTGCAAATATAATGGCATGCCACTGTTGTGCGTGACCTGTACCCAGCCTTCTGGTAATACTTCGAAATGATTGTGACGTTTTTCTTCAAACACATGTGAAAAAAAGGATAATGAATAATTTTTTTTAATAATTCAAAAAAAATTGAATTTCTGGACTTACCCTCCAACACGGTCTTAAAACGTTCCTCATATTTTGGCTTCTTGGAACCCTTTAAATCGTCGGGTAAATTTTCATCTAGCAAATGTTCAATTTCCTCATCGTCCAAATCCAAATCGGAAGATTCATCACCGCCATCATCTTCATCGCCATTTTGTTGATTGTTGCTGCCGCTGCGCAGCACACCACCGCCGCCGCCATCACCGTTTTCACTGCCATTGTCTAAATGTTTGGGTTAAGTTTTATATTGAATTGATTTTATTTCGAAGGTTTAATGTACGGATATTTTTTTCTTGAAAGAATAGTTAGTTTTAGAAAAAGGCGGAATGAGTAAATCCTTTCTCCACCTTAAGCTTGAGACTAAAACTTCTTTCACGAAAATTTTCAGAGTCTGACATCTGATATCTGTATATTTTGTAAATACATGGTAAATAAATGTTCAATGATGATGAGAAGCAATTTTTAAATACCCAAAGGGGATGATAGATACCAAGCAATGGCTCTGATTGGCTTTAACATGGTGAAGTCCAGGTTTATCTCGGACCAACTGTGGAACTTGAGAACTACAGCTTCGAGGTAGTCAACGATTTTATAAACCTTGGTACCGCCATATGCTACTATGGTCTGAGCAAACAACTCAAAAGCAAGACCAACTCACGCCAGACCAAACTCACACTCTACAAGATGCTGATACTACCCGTTCTGTTATATGGATCTGAAGCATGGGTACTTGCGCAAGCAGATGAGGCAGCTCTTGGAGTGTTTGAGAGAAAAAATTTTCGGAAGATCTATGGGCCGATCTGCGTTGACGGTGAATATCGCCGTCGAATGAACCATGAGTTGTACCAGCTATTCTCGGACATCGACATTGTTAGACGTATTTAACTGCAGCGACTACATTAGCTAGGTCATCTTGTGAGAATGGATGAAGAAGCCCCAGCCCAGCGTCGGCAATTGAATAGATGTAACGTGTCGTTTGTATCGAGCCAACAATTGGTGACCGATAGGAATTAAGACGATTGCACCATAGTTATTTTTAGCTCAGCTGCACGGGGATCTGAAGCAGTTCTTGTAACCTCCTTAAATCTTACAAATTAGCTTTTCCACGGTACGGCGTTTCGGGTCATTTGGGTAGTTGTCTATTCTATAGAAATGTTAATTGATAGTCGAGTGATTTATCAAAATTTTCAATTTCTCTGGGAACTAGCGTTTTTCTGGCATTAAATCAGACCTCCCTTTTAATAATCTAAATTTCCCTAAATAATTTCTGCCAATTTGTCAAAAGACATAGTTATATATGTATATAACGAGAACAAGTTAATCCGAATATTAGTAAATCCGAATATTTAGTATGTTCACCTGATTCAATGACATCCATACGCAAAATGGGTATCATACGCATTTTGTGATTTGTTTTTTATTATTATTTAGAGATTTCTTATGTTATGGACAGGTTCGATATTCAATTAAATTGTTATGGATAAAATATCATGTTCTAATAAAAATGTGTATGTGCTGTCATGTCTTTTAGAGAGATTTCTGAATTAAAACTTTATTTCGTCGACGTTCCTTCGCCACTACATTTTTCGTATTTTTTAGTTAATTTTCACGTTCCGTAGTGTACAAATTCATTTGTATAACTGGAGCAGCAGTTCAGCTACCGCTATACAGCTTCTTTACTACAGACGGAAATTTCTTATCTTCTTTATCGCAATGATAGTATCGGGATAGAGAAAGAGAGAGGGAGAAGTATTTAACGTTGAAGAATTTGTTGATTTTGTGATAAGACACAAAAAAATGTTAGATTTGATTTTCTTTTGATTTGTGATTGCGATAAAACAAAGTAAACTGAAAGGAAGGAGCGAATGAATGAATGACAACAGGTACAGTGGTGAATTGCGAGTGTAGGTTCTAAGATATTAATCAATGTTATTCTGACAGGTGGAATACAATTTGGCACAATTCGATTGTTTTATAAAAGAGTTAATGTGGACTTTATTTAAAAGGCTGGAATTACCAAAATAACTACATAGTGATTAGTCCACTTTCCCTCCTGTTGAACACCAACACGCTTATATAAAAGCGGGTAAAACTTAGTTTGGCAAACATACTCGATATAGAACCATTTTTGGAATCGAAAAGTGGTTCTATTTCGAGTAAGGATTGGTTCTAGAACCATTTTGTACTTGGTAGCATTTTATTCTTTAATGGGAAAAAACTTTAAAGAAGAAAATGTTAGTCCAAAATCTCAGAATGGCATCTAGGAAAGAGTCACATAACCCGTTATGGACATTGGACATCCTCGACCTAGAACATTTTTTTTTAATTTAGAACCGATACTTATGTGAAGTCTGCAATCAACTGCGTTGCTCCATATCTCTGGAGCTATGGTTCGTTACCTAACAGCATGTATCAAAACGGATCCTGTTTATTGGTGGTTATATCCAAGAATGTGGGACGACCTGACTAACCCTTCTAATTTTATTTAAATACAAAATTCTTATGGCTTTAAGAGCCATCATATATTGTTGTATCAAATATAGTCGCATAGTTTTACGCGTTGATCCAATGTCATACATGGTTCATTCAAGATACAACCATGTCCAAAGGTCCAACTTCGTCCGCATAAGCTACAATTTTAATACCTATCCCGTCCAATTCCATCATTATGTTATTAATTACCAATACCAACTTTTTTAAGTGACTTGTTTACGGATTCAAGTTTAAAGTTGTTAAAGGCTCCCTCTATATCTAGGAAGGCGACCAGCGTAAAGTTTGAATTTGTCATACTGGTCGAAATGTAACCTACCACCTCTTGCAGTGCAGATTCTACAGACTTTGCCTTTATGTATGCGTGTTGTGAGTTGCTAAGAGAGGTGGTGTCTATACGACTCCTAATCTCCAGGTCGATCAGTCTTTCGAGAGTCTTGAGGAGAAAGGATGATAAACTAATTGGGTCTATAGTCCTTTGGTGCAGAGTGGCTTTACCTCGTTCTATATCCACTCAAGGATAAGGTGTGATTCCATCTGGTCCTGCTATTTATACGGTTTTAATGTATTGACTGTCCAGCGTATCTTATTTATGTTAACCATCTTGCCAATGAGAGGCTGAGTGTCATTACATTCACCGTCGATGGTATCCACCTCTTTGCAACCCACCTCGCTCCATCCTGTTTCTTGATACTCCCTATAGATTTCGGATCCTTGGATAGTAATCTTCTAGGTTTCGAAGCGTCGTTGACTCCTTCTATCGACTCACAGAAATTTTTCCAAGACTTTTTCTTTACACGCTTGATCTCACTGTTGTATTTGTTGAAACTAGCTCTGTAGGAGTTCCAGTCAATATCGAGTTTTGATTTATGCACCCTGTTGTACAGTCATGTGGTCGCTTTCCTGTGCTCACCAAGTTCCCTGTTCCAGCATAATGGCTAAGATTTTTTTCCCAGGATATGTAAGCGGACAGGATTCCTTATGGCATCTGAGAAGGACGTCCGTTAGATTCTACCTTAAATCGTTTCGTTTTGGCGTTGATTAATCATTAAGACAGTCAATCACTTAAGGGGACCCCCACCATTCTCGGGGTCAATTTTTTTTTTATTTAATTCGAATCTACACTAATTCAAGAATGTCCCTACAAAATTTCAGATGAAAATCTCTAGAACTCTTGAAAATATAGCCGATTTATTGTGTCAGCATCAAGTGACGGTTAAAGGGCTCCTCAAATTTTGATAGCGTTTTTCTCTTTTGCGAATGGCGGGCACGATAACTCAAAAACTAATAACCCAATCGATTCCACTTTTTTTACACGTTTCTCTGTGAGTGTATAGCTATCGTATGAACTAGGATAAAGCCAATCGAAGAAGATCTTCCTTATTTTTTAACTTGGTTTTTGGTCAAAAATCGGCGATTTTCCAAAAATATTTTTTCAAAGATCCGCCATTTTGTTAATTTTAGAGCGATGTCAATAATCCTAGTTCATACGAGATGTTCGATGTTCCAGTGAGGAGTTATCATGCCCGCCATCAAAAATAAGGGCTTCTCTTTAATTACAAAAAACAACAACAAAACATTTACAAATTTTTTTTGTAAATTATTTTTCTTCTCTTTTAAATCTTCAAATATATATGTGCAAAGTTACAAACCTTAACAAGCATTGGTATTGATTTACCAGCCCATTGAAAATCTTGAAAAATTAAAATCGAGAATGGGTGGGGTTCCCCTTACTCTTTAATTTCAGGGAAGGAGTTAAAAAAATGTGTAAACGTTAAGGTTTTGGAGCCCAGTATCTTCATAAAATATAAACGCAAAAATTTTTTCCCAGATTCAAAACAATTTTACCAAATATTGCCCTATTAGGGCTAGGACATTTTTTTCTTATGGAAGTGCATACATTCCGGGGAGCCTCTTGTATTGTTTCCATTTTTTATTAAAGTATGTCAGACATTATTTTTATATTTTGAAATCTTTGATTTTCAATTATTTGGTCTGTTTTATGGGTGTTAAGTCTTTTTCCTATGGACTGATGATGTCAACGCCGGTTAGGCGACAGATACGTATTTTAAGTGAAACTATAGTGAACATTGGAATCTTCTTCCTCTGTATTCATTATCAGGACATTTATAGATTTAATAAATGCAAGGAGTCGCAACGAAACTTTGGAGTTTTATATATCTGAAAGTATGAACTTTTTCAGGAAAAACATAAACTCTTTTGGTCTGTTCCAGTACTGCAAGAATCTACTCGATTTTACTATTTTCTTCGATATCATAAAGAAAAATTCGTTATCGTAGTAAAAAGTAGTAGATTCTTGCAGTACGGGAACGGACCATTTGTTATAAGGGCAAATATGGCTACAAAATTCAATGTGCTTGGTGACAGGACCTTAAACCTAACTTAAGCTTCCTCATATAATAACTTAAAGAAAAATCCATTAAAAATTATTTTTTTTTTCTAGTTCATTTACAAAATTCCAACTTACCCTCTTCATCATCTTCGGAATTCGAGCCGACTTCATCTAAGACCTGAAAATGTCGTAACTGTTGATCCAATGTCTGGCTATTGCTATCCTCTTCGGCACGATTACGCATCTCTTCAATGGCGCTCAATGAGAAACCCGCAACTTTCATGGCTTTGGCATGATCGTCCACAGATGACGACGACTGAGATTCGTTATCCGCTAACTTGGCTTTCTTACAATCTGGTCCACTTTCATGATCCGAACCAGATAAATCCAATTTTTTGTTAACACCATCGTCATTTTCCATTTTATGTACGCTTGTAAGTTCTTAAATATTTTTTTGTTTTATATTTTACAATATCATATAACAACTATACTATATATACAAAAAACAAATGCAATACAACAAAATATAGTTAGCTATACTCGTAGACATTGGGCATGACTCGTTTTAATAGCCAATTATGATTAAATCCAACATTATTTTATGTCGAGCAAAATGCTTTACCATTGGAAAGCATATAAATTGGATAAAATCAAATTGATTATGTGCGAGTGCCCCAAAAGGGAGGAAGAACATTCTGTTTTTATATTTTTTGTTTGCTTTGTCAAAAATAACAACAATAACATTATTTATATTATTATTTATGATCCACTATGGTTCTTTTCCAGTCTATATTTTTTTTCGTTTCTTTTCTTTGTCAACGCCCTATGCTGGTGCTTGCGATGTGTGAATCGATCGTGTGTCGTCCCATTAATCTCACGGAAGCCACTTTCACAATGGTTTTTGCTCATATCATATTATAATTTATTACATACAAATTGACATAAAACCTATTGCAAAAGTACTTCTCAAAATTTGTTTACTTTAGCAGCAGCTCCAAATTGTTTATTTTTGTTTAAATATTTTTGTTAATTCCGAGAGGAGAAAAAACAATACACAAAATGCCTCTGAATGTTGTACTAGTTCATTGGAACTATTCCGAGAAAGGAACGAACGGAACTAGTTCCAGTTCTTTAATTAATATAATTCCTTTCTCTGATCCAGTTCCTTTTTTGAACTATTTGAAGCAAAGGAACTGTATGGAGCAAAGGAACTATATATATAAAGAGCAAAGGAACTATATGTGTTAACATCATTTATTTATAATAAGTTTAAAAGGATATATTTGGAGCATAGGAACATGTTTAAAATATTTATTATATTATATAAAGAGCAAAGGAACTATATGGAGCAAAGGAACTATATATGGAAAAACGAAAAAAAGAATGATGAAAGAGAGAGATTCAAAAGAACTATGTAGGAGTCGGAACTATATGGAGCAAAGAAATTGTATGAACTAAAGGAATTATATGGAGCAAAGGTACTATATGGATCAAAGGAACTATATGGAGCAAAGGAACTATATATGGAAAAACGAAAAAAAAAAATAATACAAGAGAGAGAGAGAGATTCAAAAGAACAGTGGGAAGCCTCCAAGACTCCAGCCTTCATAAAATTCGCTTGTTAATCGTCGTTCTGCCAAGACTCAAGCGACGTCGTACGCAAACCTTCGCCAACAAATGGTCTGTTCCAGTACTTTTTATACCCTCCACCATAGTATGGAGGGTATATTAATTTTGTCATTCCGTTTGTAACTCATCGAAATATTCATTTCCGACCCTATAAAGTATATATATTCTTGATCAGGGTAAAATTCTAAGACGATCTAGCCATGTCCGTCCGTCTGTTGTAATCACGCTATCTTCTGAAGGAATTGAGATAGGGTGCTGAAATTTTGCATAGGGTTGTCTTTTGTCTGCAGGCAGGTCAAGTTCGAAGATGGGATATATCGGTCCACGTTTAGGCATAGCTCCCATATAAGGGTACCCCCAATTTTCGGTATTTTGGGGTTCTTGAGCGCGTTTTTCAAGCGAATTTGTAGTAAATGTATCCACAAAAAATTATAAATATAGGTCCACTTTTTCTTGTAGCCCCCATATAACGGTACCTCCTAATTTTCAGTATTTTTTGGGTTTTTATCGTATTTTTCACCGAATTGGCTGTAATTTAGTATTTTGAGTTCTTAGCAGGTACCAAATCTCTCCACAAAAAAAAATTAAATATAGGTCAATTTTTTCGGATATCCCCCATATAAGGGTACCCCCCAATTTCGGTATTTTGGGGTTCTTGAGCGCGCTTTTCAACCGAATTCGCTGCAATTTTGTACATTGGGTTCATATTGCGTACCAAATATCTCTACTAAAAATTATAAATATCGGCCCACTTTTTCTGGTAGCCCCCATATAAGGGCACCCCAAATTTTCGGTATTTTGAGGTTCTTAAGCGCGATTTTCAACCTAATTCGCTGAAATTTGGTACAGTGGGTTCATATTGGGTACCAAATATCTATATTTAAAATTATAAATATCGGTCCACTTTTTCATTTCAAATACCTGTCAGTATACCTGTGGTGGAGGGTATCCAAAGTTCGGCCCGGCCGAACTTAACGCTTTTTCACTTGTTTAATAGCATGGTACAATTATAAAAGGTAACAGCAAGTCCCAGCTGATTTGATTCCAACGTAATACTAGTGTCAATATGAATTTGACAAATTATGTTTTTAAAAATCACCCAACAGGAAAATTGGGAACGCATACAATTTGTAATTGTTCTTTATTAAATGTGCTCCCGTATTCAACTTACTCAATCTGCCTGCTGGGAAAGTTTGAGGAAGCAAATCTTTCTTCAAGGAACAACTCGCTATTCCCTGCATTTTCATATGTGTTACACATATATATGGCAATGGCTCAATTATAGGAAAGATGTGGAAGCGATAGAAATATAAATTTGATAGATTTTCATTCATGTTTTTCAAATTTTATTTTGAGGATTCGAAGATATTTCATTTTCAAAATAAAAATAAATTGATTATAATTTGTTTGTTTGTTTACATTTTTCTGTCAAATGAGTTGACACTAGTAGAACTTACAACAACAAATTTCCATGTGGTTGTTGTATCGTTTTTTGTACAACAACACTTGCTGTTACCTTCTATTATTATACCATGGTTTAATAGTAAAGCTAGTAAAAGGGAAACATTTCAAGTCTCAGAGTACAAAATAATTTGAAAAGTTCGGGAACGCAAATCTAGTAAATATGCCAATTGATATGCCAATTGACTTTCGACTAATCAATTAATCGAACTTATTTTATCGAAGTCGACTCTTGATCTTTGAAGAAATCTCAAAGTCGACTTTCAAGATTGATTTTCGTCATAAATACTTGGTTTATAATCACAAAACCCAACACATAAAAGTAATCGAAATGTAATCATAAAGGAATGTGATCAGCTGTTTGGGTGTATCTTACATGACAACGGAAAATGTTTGGCGTTTGTCAAATGAATTCTAAAGAACAGCTGATGGTGAGACTACGGATGAGCTGTAGGGAAACTTTATGGACAAGTTGAAGGAAGGCTTTATAGACGACATTTAATAGTTCAAACGCTCCCAAAATATACTCTAGAAGAAGACCTGCTGGTGTCCCTCCAATCTCTCTCCCACACACACACACCATGAAAATCAACGAACACATCAAAATTGTTGGACAGCATGTTATACTTGTGCCATATGAAGCTAAACATGTACCCAAATACCATAGATGGATGCAATCCGAGGAACTGCAAGAGCTGACCGCCTCCGAACCGTTATCGCTTGACGAAGAATACGCTATGCAAAGAAGTTGGCGTGAAGATGAAGATAAATGTACTTTCTTGATATTGTGCCGTAGTACCTATGAACAGAGTAATGATGAAATCACAGCCCTTGTTGGTGATACCAATCTGTTTTTATCTTATGATCCCGATACCAATGAAAAGATAGCCGAAGCAGAAATAATGATTGCCGAATCAAATGCTCGTGGTAAAGGTTACGGTTGGGAAGCTATGTTATTAATGATGAAGTATGGACAACGTGAGCTGGGTGTGAATAAATTTGAAGCAAAAATCGGCATGGATAACGAGAAGTCACAACGGATGTTTAAGAAAATGCAATTCCATGAAATAAAACGTGTCGAAGTGTTTCGTGAAATAACCTATGAAAGGAAGGTCAATGAGGAATGGACGAATTGGCTGGATCAACAAGTTCATTTGCAAGTAGAAAATTATTGAATATACCTAGTACATATAGAAATATATTTTTAGTACCTATATTAAAAAATATTAGTTGTATAGAATAGAAATTTTTATACACAAATAAAATTATATATTTTTTATTTTTCTTAAAGGAAAAATTATTGGTTTTTAAATTTATGATTATATCTTCAACATTTTTGATAACGACTTATATATAATTACGAGGGCATCTAAAAGTTCTGCCCTTTATTTGAAATCGCTAATAGCGACCAAATTCGAATTCAATCGAATGTTTAAACTATGCAATCAGGAGCTCTACTGGTTCAATATAATATTGTTCCGTTTTTACGTCAAAGTTCCCATGATATATTTATATTTTACATCAGAATGAAATGCCCAAATGTCTGTTGAAACTGCGATATAACTTACATACTGACCTTTTTTGCCTTTTCTTATATTTTACAAACCTCCAGACGGTGGAGGACAGAATGCCTTCCACGTTTTGGTATATTTAAAAATTTTGGGAGTTATTGCCACATTTTTAAATCTGGAAAGTTTAATTGATTGGTATAGTAATAGCGGTATATTTCAAAATGTTGAGAGTTATAGCCACATTTACGAATCGGAATGGTTTAATATATCAATCCAGAATACTATAGAGGGTGAAAAACATATTTGCATAGCCCCAAATATATGTCGGGCTCCATTTTAGATATATTGAAGGTTCAATTCTTCATTACGGGTTATTACTGGGTAAAAAATATTTTGCAGATAATTTCAGAGTTGGTCCTCAAATACAGGTCCGATTCATATCAAAAATGTTTATGGTTCTAGGAGTGTTTCCCCCAAAGAAGATGTAATTTATTATTCCTAGTGTATCCTCCCAGCAGACAATTCACAATACCCCTTATAATGGTTTTAGGGAAATCACTGATTGATTTTAAGGAAATCAGCGCCATAAGGACTACTTTTAACTATTCGTAATTGATACGCGACCGGGTCCTAAGCCTGATTCTTTAATAGAAAATGTATCTTAATAGAGTCATCTGCATTTTAGAGTAATGCGGATCATGCGTCTAATGTGGACCACCCCCATACATAAGAAAATGCCTGAAATGTGTCAATGGCGCTTTAATAAATGCTTTCCTAATTAGTGGAAACAAACATCAAACTTGGTTTTTAATAAATAATTGCAGTGCAATACACACTATTTATTGCACTGCAATTATGAACATTTGAACATTTTTTTGCACAATAGTCGAACGCTTTGTTTATCTCGAATATAAAGAAGATATGTGTTTTTTGTTCTGTTCAACAAAAATATACGTTTAGCTGACTTTTAATTTTTATTAATTTTTCAAGCCGATAATTATTTTTAAATACAAAATCAACTAATCTCCCTGTGATTTTATTTAAACACACTTTCGGAACGACCTTAAAAATCGTTAATATATTAAAAATCCTTTCCTTATCCTAAAATTACTTACAATGGTAATTGGATCGGGAGGTTGCATGTACCAGTTGACCTTGCCCCGCCGCCACCGCTGCGGCATTTATAAAACCGTGATTTGGTATAATTTTTAGTCACACTTTGAAAGTACCTTAAAAATGTGTATCTACTCCACGATTTATTCTAATGCCCAGCCATACCCTAATAAAACATCCAATTATTTTTTATTTAAAAACATTTTCTTTATTTTTCTTTTGTTGTATGTATAAATCTATTATTCTTTTGTTTGTTTGTCTAAGCAAAAAACAAATGAAAGTAAATAAATTAAAAAATACTTATTTTTTGTTAGAATTTTTTATGAAAGATTAGGGTTTTTTTGTTTTGTGGTTTATTTGTTGGTTGTTTGTTTTGTTTTTCAAAGTTTTAACTTTCTTTTAAAGCAATTATCAAAGGCATTATTTTTTGATAAAAAAAAATAAAAAAATACGAATTATATAGTATGTATATATAAAATATAAAACATAAACATAATATATAATAATTAATAAAAAATAAAACTAAAGTTAAACAATTGTTATAAAAAATATAATATATATAATAGCATTACAAATTTAAAAAATAGTTTAAGATTGTTGTTTTTTCTATAATATATGTTCTTTTTTGTTTACTTGATTGTTTTTTTTCTCCTCCTTCTTGTTCTTGTCTTATAAATATATATTTCTTTTCTTGCTTGCATTACACTTCAACAACAATTGAACAAAATTACATTTGTATTTTTTTGTTTTTGTTTAATTTTCTCATTCTTGTTTTCTTTCATAGAATTTGTTTGCTGTTTCATCTGCTGTCTGTCTTCTTTGTTAATTTATCTTAATATTCTAGGCTAGCGCACGTGGACCATCTATGGGCATTGTATGCAAAACTTCATCCAATAATTGTAGAGCACGATGCAAATGCACCTCTATCCAACAAGGTGTCTCTTTGATCGATTGTCGTGGATAATCAGGTCCCCAACCTTTGACAAAACTTAAACGTAAAATACAAAGGCGCCGCAAATCATCGACACCAATACCAGCGGCCGCAGAAATATCTGACAAATTTAAGGAAGGAGAAGTTGATTTGTTATTGTCTTTGAAATTGATTTGAATTAGAAAAAACTTACTTCGGGGCGGCGCTCCCAGTTGTGAACTGGGTAGACCGGCCACAGCTGCAGCCTGGGCAGCAGCTGCCGCTTGAGCATTACTGGCTAGTGAGTGCATTTGTTGATGACATTGACGCAAATCAAATACCTGGAAATTAAAAAAAAAAAAAAAACAATATGAGTTTAGACAAGTCTTGTTGAGGGTTCCACAATTATCCTAACTTATAAAACCCAAATTAACATTGCTATATATGGCCATTGATTATTTTATCATTAACTTCCATGAGCCGTTTTCTCTTCATGCTCACCTTAATACATGCCGCTGGATAAATTTTATGTACAGCATCACCGGGAGTACGGCCAGCCTCACGATCTAAATAGTAACTTTGTACAAACACAGAATTATCGCTAAGGCAACGTAACCAAACATCACCCTCGCCTCTCAAATCCAATTGAACACCTTTGCCGATGTGTAATCTAATGAGGGCGGAATCGAGAGAGGATTAATGGAAACATTAAAATAATAATATCACCACCACTCACTTACCTAGCTCTCTCTGACTGTTCCTGTCGATGAACATTGCTTAGGGCGCCCAAACAAAAACGATTACCACCCGATGGATCAACATAACCATCGACGATGACATTCGGTTTGGCCGACGGCACCTTAAATGTTTCACCCACTTGAGTATCCAATTCAAAATAGGCTATTGAACACCAATATTCAGGTGGTGGTTGACGTGATAGTAGGCGTGGAGGTTCCTGCTGGGGCATTACATTTATATTGTTCCCTATTTTGAAAACAAAACAAAAATAAACAATATTAAAACTGGTTCCCTTGTGATTGCCAAAAACTACTTACAATAACCTCCCGGCATAAGGGTCCTTGGATCGGGCGGTTGCATTGCCTGTGTATAGGTTAGGGTCGATGACCCGGTCCATGTACCAGCCGGTGAGGCTGTATTGCCTGCAACATTACCGCCACCCGGGGCATTTGGTTGATTTGCATTTTGAGCATTTTGACCTTGCACCTGTTGAGCGTAGTTATGTTGTTGACCTTGGCCACCGCCGCCAACGCCACTTCCTTGCCCCGCCGCCACCGCTGCGGCATTTACAAAACCATTTTGTTGCATATGCGGGCTAATCGGTTGCTGGACATTACCAACACCCACGCCACCACCACCGCCGCCCGGCCCGGTACCACTATTAAGGGCAGCATTAAATTTAGCATCAGCTACATTAGGCATTTGTGAGGTATTGGGTGAACCATAATATCCGCTTGGATCCTGGCCACCTTGGCCACCATTTGCAGCCGACATTGAGGATGGACCCTGCGGTGGTGGCTGTTGCATACCTAATCCCGTGGGATCATTAGGTGAATTTGTGGCACCATGATGTTGGCCCACCACATGGCCGTTGCCTTGAGGATTTTGTGGTTGTGGTGGTGCCATAACGGGGCCGGGATTCATTGGGCCTGGCATACCCATACCATGACCAACAGCTAAAAGAATAAACGAAACAAATTATTTCACTTTTAGAATCTCTTTTTGGGTGTAAAAATAAAATCGGAAAGGAAAATTTACAAAAGAAAAGGAAAAGGCCAAAACAAATACAATTATCCCTTACAAAGTGAATGTTGTTGCTGTTGCGTTTGTGTTGAATGCTGCTGCTGTTGTTGTGTAGCTGTTTGTTGCGGTCCCGCAGCAGTTTGTTGCTGTGTCTGTTGTTGTTGTTGTGTGGGTAACTGGGCCGCCTGAGGAGGCTGCAGCCGTGGCGGTGGTGGAACCATCCACGAACTACGTGGACCTCCCTCATTTGGTTCAATTTTTGGTATCGTACGACCGGCTGCTGCAGCAGCGGCATACATTGCGGCGGCATTCATATGATTGGGATCATTAACTAAATCCAAAATAAAATAAGTGAAATCAAAAAATAAAAAAAAAAACAAAGCGAAACAAAAATAAAAATAAAATACACGCTAACAAATTCATAGAATAAAAAAATTTAAATAATACATACCCGGTCCTTGGGGATAACCATAACCACCGCCTGGTGGTCCAACCATTTGTGATGGATGATGTTGTATTGTACCAATATCGTTGCCATCAATATCCATACCACCCACCAGCGGTCCAGCTGAGTATTCATCTTTGACAAGGCGACTGGGGCCCGATTGCAAACTTAGACCGGACAAATCAATGCCCGGCGAAACGACACGTTCATAATGATAGGGATTCACACAGACCGAATCACATTTGAGATCAAAAGCGAATGCACAATATTTGACATGTTTCAATTCGTTTTTATGTAAATCGGGCCAGCGCCAAATCCTAGCATAGATGACGTGAGGGAAACCTTTGCGCCCAGCAACCTAAAAAAGGAAGAAAACATAATCAATCAATAATAAAATGTGTCATTGGAAGTACGATAGTTTATTGAAATCTTAGTGGAAGAAAGGCTGTTGAAGTTTAAATGGTTGTGACAGTTTGGCTTTCTCGTTTTCCCGCCCCAAAATAGGGCAATTATATTAACAATTTATTTTTGTTGATATAATGAAATGTTTGATTGAAAATGGGATCAGATGCTGGAATGAGGATGATGAATATAATTGGAGGTTGCGAAAGATTATGGAAGGTTATAGGTTTATGTGTGGAGTGATAAGATTAATGGGAAGGACAAAACTGCAAAATGAGAGCTGCAAAAATTGGACAGTTCTACTGGACTCTGGCACAGATCAATGGGATAAAGGTCTGATCTGGGTTGAACAAACGTCTTTGATCCCGGCAACTTTCGCTTGGGAGGCTTTTAGGATGATTGGCCATCCTGACCGAAGCTGCGTTGAGATGTTCCTGGTACTTCTAGGCAGGGACTACTCTGATTCGGCGACCGCTGGTCACAATTAAGGACACGATTTGGGTTATCCTCGTTACTGGACTTCTGGACTGTCTGAGTGTGAACAGTTCACAGCGATGCAGCCAGTGACAATCCATCGATGTCAGATGAAATGACTTCCTAGATGTCGTTGCTATATCGCTTGATGTCATTCCGGATGTGTCAAGGGGATGCATTCTGATTCACTATATGGTGGTTGGGATGCGTGGGCAGATGACATGCCAGCAGGAACTGTCTGGTGAGCAACACGTTATGCTGCTGCACTGACAGTATCCTTGCCTCCTGATGCAGATGGATGATCACACGACCACACACTATGTGTTCGCTGATAAACGAAGTCAAAACTGGGACAGCATAATTGAGGACGGTACTATTTACAGCTTTGTAAGTAGTCATGAGTACCTTCCTGTCCCATGTGGTGTCCGAGATGGCTTTTCGTCAGACCCTAGTTGTGTCAATCTCCTCTTACGCTTATGGGTATGTGCAAACGTTAAGCTATCTATTTGTTCGACCATCGCCATGCTCCTTTGGTCACTATCTAGGGCGGAATACCGTAAAATTCGTGGTGGGTATTGAAATGCCCTAGCATCAGACATTTATTGCCTTTCAAAAGATGGTTAATGATATACTAGTATGGTTGGGAATAGTTGTTTAAAGGCGGAATATTTTTTTCAAGAACCTCTAACTCCAGAACACACTGCACCGCTATCCCCATGTATAGGTCACTAAAGTGAAGAGAGAGTGGTATATACCGGAAAATTTGGTAGGAATAGGAATACCAATTATCCATCTGTCATACGACCCTTCCCTAATAGGTTATATCCACCACAACATAGAAGTGTGTAGGAGTTACTTAACATAGTTTCCTAGGTCGTCGTGATCATTTTATTTCTGCGACACATAAATTTCTTTACTTTTGAACGAATTAATTAAAAAAAAATCCCTACGAATTTATATTTTACAAAATTACAATTAGTTTTTCCTTGAATCATGAGCGATCTTCAGCATAGAACATTGTAAAATAGACCTTGAACTCTTCTTGGCGACTTTTTATTGAAACCTTCTTTAGTAGTTTTTATTCGATATGGAAAATGTTCCACGAATTGTATAAATTGTTTGCTACATGTTTAACACCAAACGGCTACCGGACCGCCGGTTCATACATGGGCTTGTTTACTACCACAACAATCGACTGATAATTGTTTACACTCTGATAAAACAAACGGCGACCCCCATTCACAAATCCTCAGGAATGAACAACAACTAAACACACAACACAACAACAAAAAGAATCAAACAACATCAATAAAACTTCAACAACCGGAAATAATTCATATACATGTTGACTCACCTGTAGGCGTCCATCCAATGTACGCTGTATTGTAACACATTTACTGGGATGTGCACCGTTGGTTGTGATGGCGGTTATCAATGAATCCAATTCGTCACGTTTCTCTTTGAGTTTCTTGACCAATGATTCAATGGCACGTTTGGCAAATCCTTCACTTTCACCGCCCTGACGATGGCACATCAGCGAATGAACAATACTTAGGCAAGCATCAGCCGATGTGGGAGCGTTGGAGGGTGGTGGTGGAGGCATTTGTACAATATCGCGAACTATGATGGCAAACAAACGAAGAAATTCGATATTAATTTGTTCTTGTTTTGTTTTGTATACAACTTACTATCTTGTGGTCCAACACCGGGATACATATGAGCACCCGGACCAACGGGTGGCACACCCATACCAGGGCCACCATTTTGTACAACCCCAGCACCACTGCCCGGCAAACCAACCATGCCGGCATAGTCCTGGGGTCCTAATCCTCGGGGATCCACTTTGCCGGCGGCGTTTGTAAAATCGCCGTCACAATATCCGAAATTCGACGATGGCCACAAATTGATACCGGAGAGTCGACAAAATTTACAAAATAATTGTGTCTTGTTTTTGGTTTGTTTGTTAACACAAAAACACACTCACACGCACACGAGAGAGCGAATGCAAATCAGAGAGCAGAGCAGCAGCAACAACAGCAAATCTCCAATAGATGCAGCAATAAGAAATAGCAACACGGCTTATCTGCTTCTTTTCTTTCTTATTCTCGTTTTTCAAATCCTTATAGGAGTTCTAATTACTATTATTTATAAAAATATTAGTTTAAATTATTTAATATTTTATCTTGTTTCTTTCTTTCCTTTATTATTATTATGATTGTTTGCGGTGGGGACACCACTATACAACTCCCACCTTTTTACACATACACACACGAACGCACACAAAATAAAGGCATGCCGCTCTTTCTTCTTTTCGCACTTATACTTTGATATTTTTTCTTTGTTTTACACAATCGCGAAATTCTATTTTTATGCCACTAATAACACAGCTTGAGGCCAGTTTTAACATGTTTGTTTTTGCAAAACTATAACTGCGGTTTCCGTTTGATACTATCCGGTCAAATTCGTATAGAGAAGACCCACAAATCCAATAGAAGAAAATGGTTCCGTGTTTTTTTCTTTTTCCTTCTTTAATCGGAAGAAATTTTCCAAAAATCACATTAGGGATAAGTAAATCGACTTTCGGCTAATCGATTAATCGACTTTCTGTATTGGAAAAAAAGTCAGAAAGTCGTAGTCATGGCCTATAAATAAGGTCACCCAGGAAGACCAGCTGATAATCGATACCTCTCAAGATTGCTGTCAAAATGCATTATTGGGAATTGACTTCCATTATGAAAACGTAAACAAAGTCGACATTTTTGACATTAGACTTGAGAAAAAACAGCTGTTTTCCGATTTCGATTGCTATCTTTGTGACCTTATTAATGGATCTTGGTCGTAGTCGACTTTTGACCTGTGAGGAAATCGAAAAGTCGACTTTCGATTTTCTTCATTAATACTTGGTTTATTGTCAAGAAACATAAATGTCCCAAAAATTGCATATTCCTTTATTTCGACTGATGACAAGAATTCATATAAAAAATAAAATTTTTTTTATCGATAAGTAATCGGTGAAATTCGAAAATCAATTTTGAGCAGGTTTGACAAAATCGAAAGATCGAAAAGGAACTTTTTAGTCAGAGGCAAAAATCGAATAGTCTAAAAGTAGTTTTTACTCTCGACTACGTATTCCTATTCCAAAAATCACATCAATGTCTCAGTGCCTTTGCCGTTGACATTTCGAAAATGTTGTTATCTGATATGGGTTGAATTTTTTTTCGCATTGGACCAGTGTTGGTCCTGATTTATATTAGGCGAGTTTACTTGCGGCAATTTTTATCGTTCTCTTTTGAACTTGCTCCATTTTCCAAAATATTTTTTTATTTGGTTTTTTTACATTTAAATATATATAAAATGTCAACAAATACGAAATACACAAAACGAATTGCCAGAAAATCGGTACGAGCAATTTTTTTTCATTTCTATACCCCTTGCCCATCTCTCCTACAAACAAAGACTTGCCGCAAGTAAACTCGCCTAATCTAAATCAAGACTTGCATGATGTCGGTATGAACAGTCTTTGGTCATTTTTGGAAAATACATTGGAATTTGTGACATTATATTAAAAAATATTTTTTTTTTATATATTAACATTTAATGTGTCTGTTCCGGAACCTGCATGAATGTACAAAATCTATACTATGATAAATATTTTCCCTTTAGGATTTGGAAAACACATTAAAAATTAGATTCTTGTTATCTATTGTCGGGTTCGGACTACTTAGTATCAAATTCATTACAAGCTGTAGCTGTGTCTGTCATTTATAACTGACGTCCAAACTTGGTCCAACATCTTAGTATGTTTGACGGTATCGAAGGCCTTCGAAGTGCATAGTCTATTCATTTTTCTACTAATATTTGTGTGTTATTATTCCTCCTAGAGAATTAATCATTATGTTCAGAAATGGAAAACTTTTTCTCATCGATGGAAGGAGCTGTGGGCGATAGAAACGAAATCGGTAAAATTCACTTCTACTTGCAACATTGTCAGATTTCAGTAGCGGGAGCACCCAGATTTATCAGGCACCCGAAACTCATTGGTTCTCCTGGTTTATCCAGTTGTTTCTATATCACCATAGATATTCCATCAGGACCCCACACCTTGAATGATTTAGAGCAACGGTTTGCAAAGGCATTTACGTCAAAATATATGTTAAGCACCTCTACCTTGGCGGTAGTGCCATCCGATATACTCCTGTACCCGGCTTAAGCCGGAACATCAAATGTGGAAATCACCGATTGTGTTGGATGTTTGTCTCCATCCCGTCTTGGACCAAGAAACTCAAATCAAGTTGAAAAAATACAATATATTGTCAGGTTTGATAACCCTTTGTCGGAATGGTGCCTCTAATGCGGTGTACACACTAGCATTTTTGAATGGCACTCTTGCCCAAATTTTGCTTGTTTGATAGTGTGGCCTCACATGCTTGTCATTCATCAGGCAACCACAAAAATATTTATGGTTGTTGGACAGTCAGTAATCGATAAAAAATGACAGTCAAAAATGATAGTGTGTACACCGTTTAACGATTCAAGCCGGTACATAGAAATGTCTGACGTTTTTTGTAAGTGTACCCTTATTCTTTGAAAATTTGGCATCACTTTATCAGTTTGTTATATGTGGAAACCCCTAATGTTGCACTCCCACTATCATACCTAGTGATCACTATATTGAACATATGCAAAACATATGTTTTATTTTGTGACATCACAGGTGGAGTAATTTTTTTTTCATTTTCCATTAAAAGACGGTACTTTTGTTTTGATTCCTGAATTTTATCGCTCATTCTAGTCTTCTCTTATTTATTTTTATTCTACGGCGTTGATTTGTACTAAAAGAGGGCTTTGAATTCACGAAAGGTCATCCCCATTTATTGTGTGCGTGCGTGCTTCCGTAAAATATGAACTATTTTACAATAATTTCATTAAAATAAATGACAAAAAATACATATTAATGTGTTATTTTATATATAAATAAACTAATGTATATGCTGGGACATAGATTTACACAACAATCATACATAAATTAGTGAACAGTGTTGGAAACCAAATTTATAAAAAAAGAAAACAAATACAACAACAAATCATAACACGCCAATGCCCTTTTAACGCGACAATCAATCGGTTTTTTTTATTAATTGAAAAAAACTCATCCAAAACAAATCACTCAGTCAGTCAATCAGACATATGTACGATCGTTCGTCAGCCAGTCATTATCATTAACATCGTTAAATAATAACCAGTGGCTGTTGCAATTTCTATTTACGACGTTTCATCTTTATCTATGGTTTTATTGTTTAGAAGTCGTCGTCATTTTTGCACCATCACCAAACGTAACATTTTTTCAAATACACGCTGCTGGCAATCACAATCAACAACGTTATCACTCGAGAAAATGTTAAATAATTTGCCATTTTTTGCCTGCGGTGAAATTGTGGCTGGTTTTGGTCGGGGTTCCAAAGAATTGGGTATTCCCACAGGTCAGTAAATATTTGTTTATATTATTTTGCTGGTTTCCTTATTTTAATATTTTGAATTTTCTATATAGCAAATTATCCATTGGAAGTTGTTAAATCTTTACCAGAGGCCATACACCCGGGTGTTTATTATGGCTGGGCCAATGTTGATAATGGTCCCGTGTATAAAATGGTCATGAGTATCGGTTGGAATCCATTTTATGACAATAAAGAAAAAAGTATGGTATGTATGAATGTATGTAATTGATGATTAATTGATGTTTGTAATTTAAATCGTTGGCACGTTTGAGTTTTCTAGAAATTGAAAACCTTAAGCGAGAAGTGGTCAAAGGAGAAATAAGGGGAAATATGATCAGCGTTAAATTGAAGCCAATTAAACCGACGTCTTGATTTTGTTTCTATAAGAAAAAATTGGAGAGTTAAAATTTGAACAACATTCAATATTTTTGCAGAACCCCTTTTGAAGATTATAGGCGTGGATTTTTTTTAAGAAGACTATATATCAGGACCCCATTTGTACATTACAGGCGTGGATTTTTGTAAGAAGAATATTTTTCAGGACCCCTTTTTGTAGATTATAGGCGTGGATTTTTTAAAGAATATTTTTCAGGACCCCTTTGTGGACATAGGCGTAGGTTTTTTTAAAAGAATATTTTTCAGAACCCCTTTGTGGACTTTGAGCGTGGGTTTTTAAAAAGAATATTTTTCAGAACCCATTTGTGCACTTTGGGCGTAGGTTTTTTAAAAATAATATTTTTCAGAACCCATTTGTGCACTTTGGGCGTAGGTTTTTTAAAAATAATATTTTTCAGAACCCCTTTGTGGTCTTTGGGCGTGGGTTTTTTAAGAAGGATATTTTTCTGGACCCTTTGTGGACTATAGGCGTAGGTTTATTAAAAAGAATATTTTTCGGAACACCTTTGTGGACTTTGGGCGTGGGTTTTTTAAGAAGAATATTTTCAGGATCTCCAAGGCGTGGATTTTTTAAGAAGAATGTTTTCAGGATAAGAATAAAATTTTCTGCACCCCGTGTGAGGTTTTTTAAACAAGAATATTTTTCAGGCGTGGATTTTTTAAGAAGAATGTTTTCAGGATAAGAATAAAATTTTCTGCACCCCGTGTGTGGTTTTTTAAACAAGAATATTTTTCAGGCGTGGATTTTACCTCTAAGGAGTGGATTTTTTAAACAAGTATATTTGTAGGATTCATACAGCGTGAATTTTTTAAACAAGGATATTTTTAGGATTCTTAAAGCGTGGATTTTTTAAACAAGAATATTTTTAGGACCCTTAAGGCGTGGATTTTTTAAACAAGAATACTTTTAGGACCCTTAAGGCGTGGATTTTTTAAACAAGAATATTTTTAGGACCCCTAGGCCGCGGATTATTTAAACAAGAATATTTTTAGGGCCTTTAAAGCGTAGATTTTTTAAACAAGTATATTTTTAGGATTCATACGGCGTGATTTTTTTAAACAAGGATATTTTTAGGATTCTTAAAGCGTGGATTTTTTAAAAAAGAATATTTTTAGGACCCTTAAGGCGTGGATTTTTTAAACAAGAATATTTTTAAGACCCTTAAGGCGTGGATTTAAACAAGAATATTTTTAGGACTCTTAAGGCGTGGATTTAAACAAGAATATTTTTAGGACTCTTAAGGCGTGGATTTAAACAAGAATATTTTTAGGACTCTTAAGGCGTGGATTTAAACAAGAATATTTGATTTAAACAAGAATATTTTTAGGACTCTTAAGGCGTGGATTTAAACAAGAATATTTTTAGGACTCTTAAGGCGTGGATTTAAACAAGAATATTTTTAGGACTCTTAAGGCGTGGATTTTTTAAACAAGATGAATTTATGATATAAATCAAATTCGAAAATGTATCGTAATAAAATTCGATTTAAGTTATTTCTTAAACATATTTCTCTCATTTTAACTTCCTTCTATCTCTCTCTCTCTCTCTCTCTTTTGTAGGAAACACACATATTACATAAATTCGATGGTGATCTCTATGGAAGCCTGTTAAAAGTTTGCATCGCCGGCTATCTAAGACCTGAAGAAAATTTCAAAAGTTTAGATGATTTAATTGCCCGCATCAAACAAGATATTGCCGAGGCAGAGGAGCTATTGGAAACAAATGAAACGAATAGACAATTACAATATCATGAATATTTCACAGATAGCAGCTCTCTAAGTAATTTAAAAAATGGCAAAAATTAGCTAATTATATAAACTTCATATTAGTTCTCTGTTTATTGTAGTACTTAAAATTTTTATTTTTTAAATATATGTTAAATATTGTTATATATAGAAAAAACCATGTCGTCAACTTATTATTTAGTAAGTACTTATTTCATCTAATTTTTTTCGCTTAGTTGAATGCAATTTTCTATATATATTTTTTTTAAATTCTAATGTACAAATTTTCACTGTGTGTGTAATATACATGTGTATTAATATAATTATATAGATATGAATATGAAATAGTGTGGTTTTTAGAGGTTTATACATGCATATATATATATATATATATATATATATATATATTGTGATTAAAAACAAAAAATAAATAATGTTTGTAATTTTAATTATAAATATAAATTTTAACTATTATTTTATTTAAAAACGGGATTTTGGGATCTATCAAATGTAATGGTGTTCATTTTTTATGCAAAAATAGTTAGTATAAACAAAGCGACAGACATTGCATTTTAATAATTTCTCCTGGCTGTACTTAACACACTTAAAGTGTCCCAATCGAAAGGAAACCATCTGATTCACTGGATACCACCCAACCCTCAGCTGGGAGATCTTCAACCTTTTCACCACTGGCATTAATGAGTACGATTTTGCCAAAACACAAGGGACGATTGCCATAGATTTTGTCATTGGTCATAATTACCAGAGAATACGACAAATGGTCCAATTGGACAAAGTGGAGTATATGTACTGGCCAGTGGATATCCGAAACACCAAGCAGCACAAATGTGTTGGAATACCAATACTTAATTTTGTTTTCAATTTCTTCATCAATTGTTGACCAATTGACTGATCATCTCCATACTCTTGTAGACATTTTGATTGCCTGTAGCATTGACAGAATTATGAAGAAGGACTTTAAGTCTTCTATAAAAATAACACCTTCAGACTTTGAAAAAGACCTTCAACACTTCTATGTGTATACGACCTTTATGTCTTCGAAAGAAGAAGTCCTTCAACTCTTCTATAATAAAAAAAATCTTCAGCTCTTACATTTGAAAAAGATTTCCAACATTTTCTCTATAAAGATCTCCAGTTCTTTTTTATAAATAATATCTTCAATTTGACCATATGCGGAATACATTCAGCACTTTTATGAAGAAGAAACCATTCGTTTCTTAAACCAAGAAAAAGACATTCAGCACTTCTATAAAAAAGAGCTGAATCTTCAAAAAGAAGGGCCTTTAACAATACCTTCAGCTTGTTTTATAAGATTCTCTTCTACATATTAAAATGCCCAAGAAATAATACCCACGAAATGTATTTATGTTTGTAAAAGTGGCAATACTGACATAGTGTCGTACATCACTTTGAAAGCCACCTCAAGTATGGTGGAATTGATATATGAAAACATATGATTGAAGAAGAAGAAGATTGGCGGTTCGATTGTGGATTTAAAAGCTGTTTAATAAAAGGCCGGGCATAAAAATAAATTTAAACAAAGAAATCTCAAGTGGAAAGTTACATAAAGTCTGGTCATGGCATAATTACCACTGAACACATGATATGCGTACATTTCAAAAGAAGATATTTTCATTTAAATTTTGAAAGCTGAGTTTTGGCAAAGGCGAATTTATGAAAAAATTGAAAACATATGACTACCTTGTATAAGTATGCCATGAAGTCTGGTATAAATTTTAAAATTTATTAAAAAAATAAAAATGATTAATAGAAGACTGTTTCAGGTTCTTTTGCACAGGGCACATTTTAAATAAATTAACCTGGTAATACAACAATACCTTTGATGGACAGATCCATTTAATTTACAAAGCAATTATGTTTGTAACTATACATCCACCCGTATCTCTCCTCTCCCATAGCTCGCTCATATTATTAACATAAAAATAATTAATAACAATTTGTATGTTCTCTCCTCCCCCAGAACGCTGCTTTTCGGCAAATCTCCCAAAAACTTTTATAATGCTTTTTGGCATATTCTTGACAGCTGATACAATATTCGAATTCCGCCACGCTACAAAACTACTAAAATTTACAGCAGCGGCAGCCCCACTCCATGTTCTTGGAGCTCTATTTATGTTGGACGAGTTTAGTGTGTTTTGTTTGGTGGTCGGAGGTTGTTGTTAATGGTATATTCAGTCGTATCGTTTGGTTCGTTCGGTCCGCGCACATTGTTTCCACCGAAATTGAACGATATTTTGGTTAAGAAGATTTTGAATTGGATATTTGCTTGCTAATACTCAGTGAGTGTGCTGCCTGTGCGTGTGTGCGAGCTAGCGAGCGTGGAAAGAAGCGTGCGTAAATGTGTCAGTGTGTACCAGCCAGCCAACATATAACGACGAAGACAACGACAAACGATATCCGCAAAAAGACAAGACCTATAGTGTTTCTTATGAAAAGAATAAATATATAAAAATAAAAAAGACCGACTGGCGGCTGGAGTGTGAGGGCACATTAAAAAAGTTCGACATTACGAAACTTGAATATTTTGAATATTGCATAAATAATATAATAGTGGAATTCGGCAGTGTAACCGAAGAAATTCTATACAGAGCTTCGATATTTACATTGCTTTGCAAAAAAACTAAACTAAAAAAATAGAATTGAAGGCGCACCACTTTGTCCGTCGTCGTCGCCTGTCTGGTAACAACATACATTAACAGCAATAACAACAACAACTAACGTGGTACCTAAATCAAGAAAAACACATGGAAGGCATAAATAACACAACAGCAACAACAAACACCTGTAGAATGAATGTCGATAACAGTATCGGTTGCGGAGGAGAGGCGGAGGAACAACAGCCATGTACAACAACATCATTATCGTGTCGATCATCGTCGTTGCCGTCGTCTGCAAACAAACAACTTCAGACGTTCGAAGGTAAAGAGTTAACCGGTCTCACACATGAGTGTGGGGTTTTCGGTGCGATTGCTTGTGGTGACTGGCCCACACAGATTGATATTGCACACGTGATATGTCTGGGATTAGTGGCATTGCAACATCGTGGCCAGGAATCAGCTGGTATTGTGACCAGCGAAGGAAAATGCTCCAAACAATTCAATATGCACAAGGGCATGGGCATGATCAGCCAATTGTTCAACGATGAGGCGATGAAGAAATTGAAGGGCAATTTGGGTATTGGCCATACCCGTTATTCCACTTCGGGAGCCTCGGAGGTGGTAAATTGCCAACCGTTTGTGGTACACACTGCCCATGGTGCCATGGCCTTGGCCCATAATGGTGAATTGGTAAATAGCGAGTCTTTGCGTCGTGAGGTGTTGGGTCGCGGTGTGGGTCTGTCCACCCACAGTGATAGTGAGTTGATTGCTCAAAGTTTGTGCTGCTGCCCGGAGGGTGTTTCGGAAGTCGACGGACCCGACTGGCCAGCACGTATACGCCACTTTATGCAATTGGCCCATTTGTCGTATTCCCTGGTCATTATGGTCAAGGACAAAATCTATGCTGTCCGTGACGTCTATGGCAATCGTCCCTTGTGTTTGGGCAAAATCATACCCATGAATGCCAGCGGTGAAAAGGTTGAAGACCTCCCAGCTGAGGGTTGGGTGGTATCCAGTGAATCATGCGGCTTCCTTTCAATTGGAGCTCGTTATGTGCGTGAAGTACAGCCAGGAGAAATTATCGAAATGACACGCAATGGCTGTCGCACTGTGGATATTGTGGAGAGGCCCGACTACAAGAAAATGGCCTTTTGTATTTTCGAATATGTTTACTTTGCCCGTGGTGATTCGATTTTTGAGGGACAAATGGTTTATTCGGTGCGTATGCAATGTGGACGTCAATTGGCCAGGGAGGCACCCATCAAAGCTGATATTGTTAGTTCGGTACCCGAATCAGGTACAGCTGCCGCCCATGGCTACGCCAAGGAATCTGGTTTAGAATTTGCTGAGGTTTTGTGTAAAAATCGTTATGTCGGTCGTACATTTATTCAACCTTCAACACGTCTACGGCAATTGGGTGTGGCGAAGAAATTTGGTGCCCTTTCGGAAAATGTTTCGGGTAAACGTTTAGTGCTGATCGATGATTCCATTGTGCGTGGTAATACAATTGGACCCATTATCAAGTTATTACGTGATGCTGGTGCCTTGGAGGTACATGTTCGTGTTGCCAGTCCACCGTTGCAACATCCCTGCTACATGGGTATTAATATTCCCACACACGAAGAGTTAATTGCCAATACCCTGAATGCTGAACAATTGGCCAGACATGTTGGCGCTGATAGTTTGGCTTATCTGTCGGTGGAGGGTCTCAAGGAGGCCGTCAATATGAATCGCAAGGAGCAGATTAAAGGTGAGGGTGGTCATTGTACTGCTTGTTTGACTGGTGAATATCCAGGCGGGTTACCCGATGAATTAAGTTGGTAGGAAATGAATGGAATTTTGAAGTTTCTTTTTTTTCGTTTTGCTATTCTACTGACTATTTGTGAATTATATGTAGTAGGTATATGATCAATATCATTGATTTAATTATGGAATAGGCAGTATTTTTTAAGTTGTTATTTTGACAATTTTTCGATGAATGTTGGGGGTCGAAATGCAAATAAAAAGAATTATGCTGAGCATAATAATGATGATGATAATCAGTAACAACATACAATCTCCCAATACAGTCACTCTCTCAATCACTTTGCCTTGGCCGCCACTTTGTGTAAACAAAATCAAAATTAAAACTATTCGATTCGACAGTAGCATCTGAATAATTTGATTTGCTATAAAGCATAACTTTGGGGTCTACAAAAAATGATGATACTCTCCCATGGTCAGTGTCTTCTATGTTGTGTTTATGTAAACAAAAAAAAAAAACATACAGGAAACAAATTAAAAAAGAAAATAATTGAAAAATATACACAATATGATCCCGATAATCCACCCCCAAATAGGTTATGTTTATATTAAAAAAAGAAATATTATAACAAATTTCGATAAAAACAATTTGTAATCAATTATGCAAGTTTTAAATTGACTTTTAATCTCATAGTTTTTTTTTTTGTTTTGTGAAAACAAATGGACGTCAAATTATTTAGATTCTACTGTATTCGAATATCAACATTTATTAATAACCACCATATCTGATTACCATGGAGAGATAGGCTGTAGTTTTCCGCTTAGCTACGACAAAAATGAAATAAAAATAAACAAATAAATTTGAACGAGATTCTTTTTGGTTAAAAAACGCAATTGGATTCAGTATCGGAGTAGTTTTGTAATCCTTTACGATTGTTGACTATTGTCAGGATGTTTTCTCATTTGCACAAAAAATAGAGAAATAGTTTGGAAGGAATTATTTTTTTAGTTTGGAAATTCGAAGTGGGTACAGTCTCAATGAAGTTTGGTAACATCAACGCAGGTACGATCGTTTAGGGAGTGGCAGGATTAGTGTAAGAGAAGATTTTCATTGGGACCGATAAAAGATTTTCATCGATCGATAAAAAAAAAACAATTAAATTTTTATCGGCTTATTGTGGGGCAATAACATAACTTATGTTCGATTAACTTTTAATAGATGATTAGTCTGTTCCCTTACTACAAGAATCTACTCGTTTTACTATTTTCTTCGATATCATAGAGGAAAATTCGTTATCGTAGTAAAAAGTAGTATATTTTTGCAATACGGGAACAGACCTGATGTAAATAAGTTTCGGTATAGACAAAAATGCCCTCGGCTCCTGCTTTTTTGTCATCATCAATTATGTTCGGTCAAAACAAATTTATCTGCATTATTTAATTTATCTCAAGGAATTACAACAATGTGAAAAAAAAACATTTTAAGTATGAAAAGAAAAATACCTCAAACGTTTATATTTTTTGCATTTACAAAATAAAAAACAAGCACAAAAACAATGACCACACTCACTGGATCAATACAAATACAAACATTGTTAATAAGATTATAGAATAAACAAAACATACAAACATACATAGATATTATTAAACTTATCAATAAAAACATAATTATAATCAATAATTAATTAAAAAAAAAAACAAAAACAATTTTCATTTTTCGTATTAATAAAGAACTCACAAAAAAAATAAATAAATAATTATGTTATCTGATAACAAACAACTTTTTATAAAATAAAAGGTGAACTTTATGACAATGTGTACCTCCTCCTATACATTTTTTATTTTTGAATTGCTTCTTTAAATGTAATATCTTCTAATAATAAAAGTTTTTGATAAAAATATATCATGCGTTCTTTTTTTAATTTGAAATTTGTTCATTTTATTATTTACTAATAATAAATTTATTTTTCTTTCTTGCAAATATTGTTAATAATAAACATAAATATTAGATAAGATTTTTCTCCCTTTTCCCCTTATTATTGTATTTTCGTCACACATACATATGTATACATATTATACCATAGCTATATACGTACATATATTACAGAAATGTTCATATACATATGTATCAATATTTGTTTAAACATTTAATTATTTTTTTCTAGTTAAGTTTTTTCTCTCATATTACCACTTAAATAAAATACAACAAAAACAATAATAAAAATAAATATTAAAATCAATAAAAAGGGGAAGTTTGAGTTGTTTTATTTATTTTTTTGATATTATTTTTTATGAATTTCTTTTAAAGGCTCCTCCAGAAATGTAGTAAATAAATACAACAAAAACAATAAAAAACATTATTTCCAATAAAAAAGGGAAGATTGAGTTTCGATTGAATTTCGATTGAATAAATTGATATTTTTATGAATTTCAAATGGTTTTTCAAGAAATTGGTGGATTCTTTTAAATGCTCCTCCGGAATGTGACTTTGTCATACTTGTGCATTTATCTAAATTTTCTGCTCCTCCAGAAAGCATCAAACTCGTTTACTATGTAGTGTAATTATTTTGGAGAGATGAAATCGATAAAAAAAGACTGTTAATTCGAATTTTTTGAAGAGGTCATATCGATAAAAGACTGCGACCTTGAAGAGATATAATATATAAATTCTTACATGATCTGAGTTCAAAAAAAGAATCAGCACATATTGACAAGGAAAAAACTTACAGATTTATCCATCAACATGAAGGGAGTAGTGTAGATTTTTTCTGTTCTTCTATGAGGAAGAAGGACTTCGGTAATTCCATGAGGAAAAAAACTTCAGCTCTTCTATCAGTAAGAAGAAGACCTTCAGCTCTTCTATGAGTAAGAAGACCTTCAGCTCTTTTATAGGAATGAAGACCTTCAGCTCTTTTATAGGAATGAAGACCTTCAGCTCTTTTATAGGAATGAAGACCTTCAGCTCTTCTATGAGAAAGAATACCTTCAGCTCTTCTATGATAAGGAAGACCTTCAGCAATTTTATGAGAAGGAATGCCTTCAGCTCTTCTATGAGAATGAAGACCTTCAGCTCTTCTATGAGAAAGACGACCTTCAGTTATTGAATACGGAAGAGGACCTTCAGTTCTTCTATGAGAAAGAAGTCCTTCAGTTCTTCTATGCGGAGAATACCTTCAGCTCTTCTATGAGGAAGAAGACATCCGGCTCTTTTGAGGAATAAGACCTCCAGCTCTTTTATGAAGAAAAAGACCTTTAGCTCTTCTATGACGAAGACCTCCAGATTTTTATGAGATAGTAGTCCTTCAGCTCCTGTATGAAAAATAACTTCAGTTCGTCCATAAAGAAAAACTTTATTTTGATTTTATTTTATTTCTTTTTTGCATTTTTTTTCAGATTTAGATCCCCATATACAACAAATCGGTTGAACATCCCCCCTTCCAACACAAAAAAGCAACAATAAATATTTTTTTATTTACATTTAATTATAAAATCACTATCACTAATTATTTTATCATTCATTCTAACCTACAATTCTCTATAGCATATTTTCATAATCCTTAATTTCCAATTCTTTTTCGACCATCTGACTAGCCAAATTATCCAATGTGTCTTGCATTCTTTGTCGCAACGTTGGATTTTGTATTGAGGAAATCTCTTTTGCCTTTTGTGAATGTTGCGCCTTAATATCATCCAATTGTCCACGTAGCTCCGATATTTTAGCTTGTATCTGATCGACACTCATTTGTGGTGTTGCATCATTCGAAGATTCATCATCGGACAGGGTACGTTTACGATCATCAAAGTAGCCACCAGCACCAGCAAGATTTGAATTTGAACCACCAAATTTGGAATTGTCATCATCACCCTGTTTAGGACTGCCAAATATTGATTTACTGTATTCATTCAAATCATCCTTGGAGGTATTTAGGCCACCGGTCTTGGCACTCATATTGGTGTTATTGCCACCACCCACCGAGAAATAGGACATACGTGAATCGTCGGCTGACATGCGTGATGTTTCATCCAAGTCTTGCATACGACTAGTATCGTGTCTTTCTATATCTTCATCATCGTCCGAAGAGGACACCTCTTCTCCGAAAATATCATGTTCTCCAACACCCAAATGATGACCCGATGGTGCTGATCCTGATGGACCATCTTCATCATCACCATCGGATTCAACATTAATATCCTTTTGTGATGAGGAGTCATTGTTGCCTTTGTCGCCCTCATTCATAGTATCGTCCATGAATTCTTCTTCACCCTCCATGCTGTCTTTCAGCTGTGAATCCGTTGACTTCGAAAGATCTTCGTTGATAATTTCAAATTCAACTTTAACAGCATCGTTATCGATACGCAAAAGACGTTTTACTTCCTTTTCAATTTCCGGAACTTCGACATTTTTCTTTTTCAAAGTTTTACGGAAGCGACGTTTACGTACATTCTTGCATGGCGGTGTAATACCATGGGCCCACAAGAATTTCTTATCCACCTTATTGGGATCTTTTTTCTTTCCCTTATTCGGGGATTCTTCTTTGTCCAAGTCATGGGGTTCCTCTTTGCAGATCATCTAAATACGAGATATGGGTCATATGAATGGGTGGGGTGTTTAACAAAAGTCCAAGTGCTTACTTACCATTTGGCATATGTCCGCCGATTTATAAAAACTTTTATTATCTATGGTCTTGAGGCATTCAATAATTGTTGGCAGATCCACCACCTTGGCATGCAGCAACCAATGATCAAATCGTACCTCTCCATAGCGCAAATCATTATCCAATTGTATGGTCATGCGATCTTTCAGGTTGGAATTGGGCGAATTGATGGCTTCTCTCAACGCCTTGGCCACTTCTTCGGGTAGCCGCAGTATATATTGATTCTCCAATTCAACTCCATCGTCGCGAGGCTTTTGTTCTTGTTTGTTTTTATCAACTTTTTTCTCGAACATTGTTCAACTTGTCCAATCGGCACGGTATATTTTTTGTTTATTTCTCTTTTCAAGGGATCTCAAGTTCGTTTATTGGAAAATACTAAAATATCGATTATTTTCGATTTGACGAATTAAAAGGTTTGCCAAGATATACAATCATCCCTATCATGAATATTTTAATGTCATGTACATACGACCATTGTTCGCTCTCTCATTCGTTGTTCGACCCTGAATTATGAAATAATTACTTAATGTACGTTTAGATTTACGAAATCCACTCGATCTCAAATGTCAATACCATTGCTTATACGTCAAATATAATCCACTGGATTTGTGAACAGGATTAACGTGACGTATACGCAATGGAATTGACATTTGAGATCGAGTGGATTTAGTAGCCTAAGCGTGGTTTTATATTTGTCGGGATCGGGATCGGTGTTGAGAGTTTCTCTCTCTTAAGAGAGTAATTAGAGTTGCGCTATTTTTAATTTTGTAACAAGCGTACTTTTTGTTCACAAAAGGTACGAATTGACATAAACGTACCAAAACAAAAATTAGATTTTTTATTATTCGTGAATACATTTACGCTTAAATTATAACATATATTATTTATGCAAATAACTGGTATAAATATTTGCCAATATTTCTCGATAATTATGATTTATTATCATTTGAAGTTGAATTTTAGGTACCTTTTCGTACTTTTTTGTTCCTACCTGTGGTAATGTTTTCCAACACAATTCACAATTTACCACTGAGAGAGAGAGAAACTCTCAGCACCGATCCCGATCCCGACAAATATAAAACCACGCTAAGCAGAATGCTCGCGTTGAGCCATCCGTCGCGTTATATGTTATCGAAAATACAAAAACCACAAGGAAACGATAACACAAATGCATATCGTTTCCTTGTGGTTGTTGTATTTTCGATGACAAATAACGCGACGGACGGCTCAACGCGAGCATTCTGCTTAGCCTTTTATTCCACCAAGAAAAATTTGATTCTTCAAACTTTCCCAGCAGGCAGATTGAGTAAAATGAATTGATTTTTAAAAACATAATTTGCCATATTCATATTGACAATAGCATTACGTTGGAATTAAATCAGCTGGGTTTTGCTGTTACCTTTTATAATTGTACCATGGAAATTAACATTTGAGATTGAGTTGACTTTGTATAGCTAAACGCACTCTTACTTTTGGAGTTGACAACACTGAAACATTTATTTGACATTTGATTAATATCATGCAACTAATCGATTAGTCAATAGTCGATCTAAGCATCCCTTCATTCATCAGTAAATTATTTTTTTCTTTTTTTGATCAAAGTTATAACCACCGATACCAGCCAATTTCAACCTTTTTTTTGAACATTTTTTATTTTATTTTGTAAAAATAATAACGAACGACGAAAAACCAAACAAAAGTGCAATGATTTGTGATTATTAATATAAAAAAATAGATTAGACAGTGATTGAAATCAAAACCATTGGAATTATTTTTAACTACAAAAAGACGAAAAGCAACAGACAGCAGTAAAAATGGCAACTCGAGGTGTTGGGCCAGTTGTAGCTGGGACGGATGGCACTGATTTCGAATATAGACAACGAGTAGCTGCACCGCATCAAATTAGGTTAATACACAATAATTTTAAATTACTATATTATATTTTTGTATTTAATTCATATTTATTTATGAGATTCTACTCCAATTTCGATGGGGGATGTAGACTGCCAATAAGACAATAACAACAATTTGGCCTTATTTTCGTTGATGATGACAAGTGGCGTTTTTGCATAATTGTGTTTGACCAGCTCAAACAACAGAAACACCAACAACAACAGCAAGGCAGACACACATTGGAAGAAAGTATTATCCAAAAAATAGTAATCCGTTTGCATTTATCTTTGGCTGTTTCTTGTCGTAGATAAATGACTTGTCTACATAAATATTTTTTTTTCTTATTTATTATCTTTTAGGGCTCCACAATTGATTTTATTTCCTATAAGAAATATTTGTTGAGCTGGTTGCTGTTTTTTTTTCTTCTATTTTGCCTACTTTGTACCTAGCTAACAAATACAATAATAATATATTGTTGTAGCCTCTGCCACCGACCGACCGGGCAATGTGCCAGAATTTGTTTACAATTGTTTTTGCGCGTACTGTGTGCGTCTTGTTGTTGTTATTTTTGCTATTATGTTATTATGTTTTGTCTGTCTTCCCAATTATTTTTATTACTGCAGAAAAGAAAATGTTATGCCCTACTATTGGTGGTGGTGGGGGCGATTGAATTCAGCTTGGCATTTTGATGTTCTTAAAATTATTATTGACCCAATGCACTTTGAATGCAACAACACCTACAACATCGAAGTATGCTTTCAAATAAATGTTATTGTTGTTGTTCTTTTTCGGCATTATAGACGTGGCATGTGTAACGTGTTCACTGAGATAAGTTAACACGTTTTGTTAGGCACAAAAGGTTATCGGTTCAAAACATATAAACAAAGTTCGTAGTGGGGAACCTAGCCGCTGTGCTGAATAAAAATATTTTTCAAGTATCCACAAAAAAATAGATTTTTTATTAAATAATTCGATTTTTATAAAATTGTTCTTTCAAGTATCCATGAGTCGTGGATGTTTTAAAAATTATTTATTGAAATACTTACAAGACGTCGATTTTTTAATAGTTTTTTTTCAAGTATTCATTACTAGTGGATGTTTTAAAACTTATTTTTTGAAATATTTACAAGCGTAGATTTTATTATTATTTTTCTTTTATCCATAAGGCGTGGATTTTTTAAAATTTTTTAAGTATCCATAGGGCATAGTTTTATTAAAAATTGTGTTTTGAAATGTCCATAAGACTTGAATTTTTTAAAATAGTTTTTTTTGAAATATCCACAAGGCGAGAATTGTTTAAAAATTATATTTTGAAGTATCCTCATCTCCACTTCTGCAAAGATGAGAGTCTGGTCAAGAAAAGACTTGGTTCAGCTCGACTGTGAATGACTCTCCCCTCAGCTTGCATTCAAAGACTAACTTCAGGTCGTCTATTAACTCCCTTCAGCTCGTCTATGAAAGACTCCCTTCAGCTCGTCTATGAAAGACTCGTCTATGAAAGACTCCCTTCAGCTCGTCTATGAAAGACTCCCTTCAGCTCGTCTATGAAAGACTCCCTTCAGTTCGTCTATGAAATACTCCCTTCAGCTCGTCTATGAAAGACTCCCTTCAGCTCATCTATGAAAGACACCCTTCAGGTCGTCTATGAAAGACTCCCTTCAGGTCGTCTATGAAAGACTGCCTTCAGGTCGTCTATGAAAGACTCCCTTCAGGTCGTCTATGAAAGACTCCCTTCAGGTCGTCTATGAAAGACTCCCTTCAAGTCGCCTATGAAAGACTCCATTCAGGTCGCCTATGAAAGTCTCCCTTCAGATCGTCTATGAAAAACTCATTGTTTGCTTTAAATATTAATAAAATGTATTTTCATCTCTATATCTCTTTCTCTTTTCCAGCTTATTAAACAAATCCCGACTGAAATATTGCATTTTCTTTCATGCCCTGCTATTTTTTGTAATGTTGGCTAAGCTAACATCAGACATTTTGGATCGTTTGGATATCTTTGTGCTCGAAATTGAGGAATTGGAAGTGCCAGCACCATTATGGTGGGAATACATTTGGTTGGCCTCCCTGCTGACATCATTTATCGGTCTGTCGGCGGCACGTGGCAATAAAATTCGCGATATGCAAAAATATATGATAACCTTGGGCTTGTTTGGTGTACTACCATTGCTGTACTGTTTCGTTTATTATTTCGGTGATGTTTTGGAATATTTGAGTCTGGAGGATAAATCGGATTTAGATGGTACCGACATATTTCTGTGGAGGGTAAGTTAAAAATAAAATGCATATCAAAATTCAAATTAGTATTAATGAAGAACCATATTTTGTTTGTTTGCTTTTTTAGGGTTTACCCTATGGCCTCTTGTGGTATGCTTTCTGTTTTGTTGGTTTCCAAATACACGGTTTCACTTTATATTTCTCGTATAATTTAATCAAAGCCTGGAAGGCACGTTCTGCCCGTAAATATCAATAAATATGTTTTTATTTTTTCTATCTACAATTTTGTATTGAAATACTCTCCTCTCCAACTACATCTTGTTGTAAACCAAAAAAGATTATACAAATACGAAAGAAAATTTAATAAATTGTTAGACTATTTTTCGATGTTTCTTATACAACAACAAAACATAAGAGAAAAAAATAAATAAATAAAAATTATTCAATTTTAAATCGGCAATTACACACATAACTATGCAAATTTGTAACTGGCACAATTACTTTTTTTATTTAATGTTAAACGTTAAATGAAAAAAAAACAACAACGTATATCAATTAAATTGACTAATGAATAAAAAAATAGGATCATCTATCTAACTATTATTGTGTGGACACAATTGAATTTCTTAAATATTTTAAAGAGAAAAAACCCCAACAAAAGTAAAATACATATATCTATATTTTGTTAGTGTATTTTCAAAACAATACAAATGTACTTAAGCGCGCTAAGCTCTTTTTTGTGTTTCATAAGCTGTGCCTCTAACTCTGTTTTTTAAATAATACCTGGGCCAGGTGTTGTGGTCCTTTATTGTGTGGATATAAAACACATGACAATTTTCCTAAAGGAAGAACAAAAAAGTTAACTATATATACACATTTTTTTAAGCTGCCCTTTTTTAGTTCGTTTGTATGAATTTATTTTTTTTTGTTTGATTCTCTTGTTTCCCTACAGGGGTCATTTAAACTTGGTTTCATTAGCACTTCGAAAATGTTACAAAGTTTAAAGAAAAGCCCAATTTATGGAACAATTTATATCTAGTTTATTTTTGTAAAACATTAGTTTCATTTTATAATTTTAGAAGACAAATATAATAAATCTAATTCATTTTTTAAATAATAAATTGTAAATTTTTAAATGTTAAATAAATTATTGCTCTCAGTGGTTTAGAAATAATGATGTTTTTTTCTTGTGGGGTGGACAAGGTTGGCTTAGAGAATAAATGTTTTCTAATTTGTATCATAGTATTTCATAGATAAGCTCAAAGGCAGTCTTTGAAAGGGAGTCTTTCATAGACGTGCTGAAGGGAGTCTTTCCAAGACGAGCTGAAGGGAGTCTTTCCAAGACGAGCTGAAGGGAGTCTTTCCAAGACGAGCTGAAGGGAGTCTTTCCAAGACGAGCTGAAGGGAGTCTTTCCAAGACGAGCTGAAGGCAGTCTTTCCAAGACGAGCTGAAGACAGTCTTTCCAAGACGAGCTGAAGGTAGTCTTTCCAAGACGAGCTGAAGGCAGTCTTTATAAACGAGCTAAAGGGAGTCTTTATAGACGAGCTTACGGGAGTCTTTTATAGACGAGCTGATGGGGGTCTTTCATAAACCGGCTGAAGGGAGTATTAATAGTTGAGAGGAAGGGTCTTTATAGAGGAGCGGAAGGAAGACTTTATAGACAATCTGAAGGGAAACGAACTTAATATATACGAACTAGAGCAGGAAGTCTTTCATAAACGAGCTGAAGCAAAGAGTCTTTTAATCTGAAGCAGGTAGTCTTTTATAGATGTTCTGATATTTATTTTTATAGATAAGCTGAAGAGAGGCTTTATAGTCGAGCTAAAGTAAGGAGTCTAGCATAGACGAGGGCTTCCATAGTCAGAAAACACTTGAGGCTCTGTAATTTAGTCTTCTAAGTTTAAGACATTAACCTGGGTATTTCAGTTTTAAGGAATACCATGTGGCAAAGTGAAGTTATTCCTTTTTTACTTTGTTTTTCTCCAGCAACAATACTATTCTAAATTCTCTTACATTTCACCTGTTTCGTATTCATTATCATTCATTATATTCCATTACGCCAGAAAAAAAATGAAACAAAAGTGCACCGTAACCACCCCTAGCTATAAAATGGGTGACAACAGCAGCAAGAACAAAAAGTGGAAAAAGTTCCGCATTAGAAAAAATGACCAAAGCATACAGAGTGCAAACATTGGGGTGGATTCAAAAAATATAATAATTTAAATGTAGTACAAAATAACTCTGATCGAATGACAAATTGGAGTTAGTCTAGGCTATGAAATCAAGGCCTTAAAATCGGATTGGAATGGAGACTTTCGAAACTCGTTTATATAAGTAAACGTTATATGTTATCTGAAAGGTGAAAATCAGCTAAATGGAAAACAAAAACACACTGGTAGTCGCAGTGGACTATAAAATAAAGAACTTATAAGGGGATCTCTAAAGGGAGTATTACAGACTATCATAAGTCACTTTTTCTAGAGGATTTAAATGCCGTATCAGTAGATAATAAAGTGGGTCCAATAAATGGGGAATATAAACGCTACCAAGGTGAGTGTGTTTACATATGAGTAGAGTTTAGTGTTAATAGGCAAGCAGGAGGAAATCCTGGTAGTCTTTGTAGTCGAAAAGAATTATTAAAAGATAGTCATTTAGTAGACTAAAAGTGTTTCTTTCGTTTACAAATCTGCTTAAAAACTAATTATCAAAATAACCATCGGTCCCACCTAATACCCCACAGACACAGACTTCTCTAATGGTCAACGTTGACGATGACGTCGATTTTAGACAACACACACGACATGAAATTTTTCGAAAAAAAAAATAAAACTAGCCACCGGTTTTGGAAAACACTGCAAAAATATCCTTGAGTGAATGCAGTTGTGTAATAAAAGTTGATGGAAAATGTTCTTGTTTTGGCTTTAAATAATTAACAAAAAAAGGAAAATAAAAATATAACAAAATCATTTTCAATTAAATGAAAAACAAAAAAAACGACAACAATTTTACAAAAATCCTGCGCATTGCAGCCACAGCAGCCTAAAAAACAAAACCATCTGTCTGTCATCCTCCTACAATTCAAGAGATGCCTTATACACAGCATCCAACCCACACTTGGGTTATAGTGTGAATTTGGGTTTTGACATGAAAACTCACAGAAAACGGATATAATAACAAACAAATAAGAAAAGGTAGCAGCAATGTGTTAAAGAAGAATAGGAAATTATTTAAATAAAAAATTCGGTATTAATAAAAAATATTGTGAAATTAAAAAGAAAACTGTGCCGAAATGCGTCAAGAAGAAACATTTCGACGTGTTACGCGTGAAAAATTGGTGGTACGCGGTAATACCACAATACGTACATTGGATTCGACCACTTCATATCTACCTGTTATGCCTGGGTAAGTATTTGGGAAAATATAGGAAACGAAAATATTTTACTAAAAAAATTATTGATTTAACGAGTCGGTATTTAGTCGCTGATGGTTTGTTGCGAAAAATCGATGTCGCTTTAAAGTAATTCAAAAAGCAAAAATCACTACAGTGATGAAGGTTATTTTGAAGGATTTTAATTTGCTTCCATGTGTGTGTGTTGATATTGCCGGAAACCATATATATATACTCTTTTTTGGCAAACATGACCTTGTTAAATCATATGAAGATGTATCTCAGGCAGCCAGTAAGGCCTTAATTTAAAGGTCAATTATTTGACACGTGACAACACAAAAACTACAGCTACATACATATGTATGTATATTTTACACATTCAGACAAGTGGAAATTAAAAATTTCCAATTATATTTCACAATTTAAATAACTACATTATTTTTGAGGCGATCTGAACGAAGTCTTTCATAGACGAGCTGAAGGGTGTCTTTCATAGACGAGCTGAAGGGTGTCTTTCATAGACGAGCTGAAGGGAGTCTTTCATAGAAGAGCTTAAATGGAGTCTTTCATAGAAGAGCTTAAAGGGAGTCTTTCATAGACGAGCTGAAGGGTGTCTTTCATAGAAGAGCTTAAATGGAGTCTTTCATAGAAGAGCTTAAAGGGAGTCTTTCATAGACGAGCTTAAAGGGAGTCTTTCATAGACGAGCTTAAAGGGAGTCTTTCATAGACGAGCTTAAAGGGAGTCTTTCATAGACGAGCTTAAAGGGAGTCTTTCATAGACGAGCTTAAAGGGAGTCTTTCATAGACGAGCTTTAAGGGAGTCTTTCATAGACGAGCTTAAAGGGAGTCTTTCATAGACGAGCTTAAAGGGAGTCTTTCATAGAAGAGCTTAAAGGGAGTCTTTCATAGACGAGCTTAAAGGGAGTCTTTCATAGACGAGCTTAAAGGGAGTCTTTCATAGACGAGCTTAAAGGGAGTCTTTCATAGACGAGCTTAAAGGGAGTCTTTCATAGACGAGCTTAAAAGGAGTCTTTCATAGACGAGCTTAAAGGGAGTCTTTTATAGATGAGCTTAAAGGGAGTCTTTCATAGATGAGCTTAAAGGGAGTCTTTCATAGACGAGCTTAAAGGGAGTCATTCATAGACGAGCTTAAAGGGAGTCTTTCATAGACGAGCTTAAAGGGAGTCTTTCATAGACGAGCTTAAAGGGAGTCTTTCATAGACGAGCTTAAAGGGAGTCTTTCATAGACGAGCTTAAAGGGAGTCTTTCATAGACGAGCTTAAAGGGAGTCTTTCATAGACGAGCTTAAAGGGAGTCTTTCATAGACGAGCTTAAAGGGAGTCTTTCATATATGAGCTTAAAGGGAGCCTATCATAGACGAGCTTAAAGGGAGTCTTTCATAGACGAGCTGAAAGGGAGTCTTACATAGACGAGCATAAGGGGAGTCTTTCATAGACGACCAGAAGGGAGTCTTTCATAGACGAGCTTAAAGGGAGTCTTTCATAGACGAGCTTAAAGGGAGTCTTTCATAGACGAGCTTAAAGGGAGTCTTTCATAGACGAGCTTAAAGGGAGTCTTTCATAGACGAGCTTAAAGGGAGTCTTTCATAGACGAGCTTAAAGGGAGTCTTTCATAGACGAGCTTAAAGGGAGTCTTTCATAGATGAGCTTAAAGGGAGTCATTCATAGACGAGCTGAAAGGGAGTCTTACATAGACGAGCATAAGGGGAGTCTTTCATAGACGACCTGAAGGGAGTCTTTCATAGACGAGCTGAAGGGTGTCTTTCATAGACAAGCTGAAGGGTGTCTTTCATAGACGAGCTGAAGGGAGTCTTTAATAGACGAGCTTAAAGGGAGTCTTTCATAGACGAGCTTAAAGGGAGTCTTTCATAGACGAGCTTAAAGGGAGTCTTTCATAGACGAGCTGAAAGGGAGTCTTACATAGACGAGCATAAGGGGAGTCTTTCATAGACGACCTGAAGGGAGTCTTTCATAGACGAGCTTAAAGGGAGACTTTCATAGACGAGCTTAAAGGGAGTCTTTCATAGACGAGCTTAAAGGGAGTCTTTCATATATGAGCTTAAAGGGAGCCTATCATAGACGAGCTTAAAGGGAGTCTTTCATAGACGAGCTTAAAGGGAGTCTTTCATAGACGAGCTTAAAGGGAGTCTTTCATAGACGAGCTTAAAGGGAGTCTTTCATAGACGAGCTTAAAGGGAGTCTTTCATAGACGAGCTTAAAGGGAGTCTTTCATAGACGAGCTTAAAGGGAGTCTTTCATAGACGAGCTTAAAGGGAGTCTTTCATAGACGAGCTTAAAGGGAGTCTTTCATAGACGAGCTTAAAGGGAGTCTTTCATAGACGAACTTAAAGGGAGTCTTTCATAGACGAACTTAAAGGGAGTCTTTCATAGACGAGCTTAAAGGGAGTCTTTCATAGACGAGCTCAAAAGGGAGTCTTTCATAGACGAGCTGAAGACGAGCTTAAAGGAGTCTTTCATAGACAAGGGAGTCTTTCATAGACGAGCTGAAGCTTTCATAGACGAGCTGAAGGGAGTCTTTCATAGACGAGCTGAAGGGAGTCTTTCGTAGACGAGCTGAAGGGAGTCTTTCATAGACGAGCTGAAGGGAGTCTTTCATAGACGAGCTGAAGGGAGTCTTTCATAGACGGAAGTGAGTATTTATATATGAGATTAAGATAGTCGTTCATATACGACCTGAAGGAGCCTTTATAGACGAGCTAAAGGCAGTCTTCATAGACGAGCTGAAGCATTGAGTCTTTCATAGACAAGCTGAAGGAAGATTTTATAAGGGAGCTGAAGGCAGTCTTTCTCAGACGTCCTGAAGGTAGTCTTTTATAGGTGACCTGAAGGGAGACATTCATAGACGAACTGAAGGAAATCTTTTAAATAAGATCGGAAGGAAGATTTTATAGGTGAGCTGACGAGTGGAAGGACGACTTTATGGGCAAGCTGAAGGAAGTCTTTATATACAATCTCAAGGGAGGAGAACTTAATATAAAATAGCAGGAAGTCTTTCATAAACTAGCTGAAGCAATGCGTCTTTCAATTTCAATAAACAGAGAGTCTTTTATAGACGGGCGGACGGAAGTTTTTTATAGACGTATTGGAATTTATTTTTATAGATGAGCTGAAGAGATGCTTTATATTCGAGCTCAAGTAGAGAGTCTATCATAGACGGGCTGATGGATGTCCTTCATAGACTTCAATCTTATACTGAAGATTTCTATTGTAAAAAGTTGAGTGTTTATAGAAGATCTAAAAAGTCTATATAGAGAAGCTCAATGTATTCTCTTAGACGAGCTGGCAGGCAGTTACTTCTAGGGGCTTTAGTGGCCAATAATTAGTTAAACTTATTAGACTTTCCAGTGGATATCTCAAAAGCCAATCTGATGGAGTCTAACGAGAACCACAATTTTAATAATCCCTATACCATTCCCATTTTTTCATTTAGGCTAATGAGAAGCAATGTGGAGACTTTCCAAAAAAAGAAGGTATTTAGGTTTATTACTTTGTATCCAATTTTCTTGGCCTGTCTTTGCCAGAAAACTGTAACTTTTCTTTTAATTTATTTATTTGTAATTACCCTCGATTTATTTATTCATTTAGTTAAATAAAAAGAAATTTTGTAAAACAAAATCGATTCATGCCTCCTGAAGATGGCGTGCCAATGTTGTGCGTTCTGTTAACCAAAGGTGGTAGCAACAAGAACAAAAACAACAACATTGTGAAGAAAAATAATAGTTTAACAGTTGGGTAGCATAAATAAAAATGCAAAGAAAAAAAATAATGCCAAAAAATCGCAATTCTAAGTCATATTGAAAGTATGCTACAGTGTGGAAAAATATTCGGAAATGGATTCATGATTTTTGGAATATTCTGTAATATATAAACATGAACTTTGTGAATGTGAAACTTTTAAGGGGTTTCAAGTCAATGGGAATAATTGGAGATTGACTTATGGAGAATATTTTATGTGAGCAAAAAGAGGCTGTTCAACAATTTTCAACAGGTTAGACCTAGCTGTTAATAGGTTATATACTTTATGGATAATATATTGTGGGTTTTTTAAATATATTAAAATTTTTAAAAATGAATTAAATTCCAAATACCGGAGGAAAAATAAAGATTTATACAGATGGCCCAAAGGTGATTTTTAGGAATGCTTTAGAAATATCAATTATAAAAGAGCTATAAGAAGATTTCTATATAAACCAATGATAAACTATATGGAATAATAAATATAAGGGCTATGAATCGATTTTTTTTAAATTCAAACCTCTCACATAAAAGACCCTTTGTAGCAAATATTTTAAAAAACTAAAATAACCCGCCATTCGGCGTGTACATTTGAAAGTAGAAACGAAAATTATAAGAATGAAAGTAGCGAAAATAAACCCGGCGGTATGCCGCTACATCAAATTGCATGTTCATATATATTTGTGTAAGTATGTGTGTACGTAAGACCCAACTTCCTTTAACCTCATTTCATATTAATAACGGTGGTAATGATGATGTTCTTATTATTGCTATTGTTGTTGTTGTTACTGCCAGCATTTGGCAGTAGAGAACAAAAGCCAAACTGAAACAATCAAATGAACAAGTGGTTTCTCATAAAACTATAATACATACATATTTACCTGACGACTGACCACCACCACCGGGAAATACCAATGGCAACAGAGGGAAAGGGATGAGTTGCGTAGTAGTAGTGGTGGTTGACCAGTGACTGAGTGACTTATGAATGACCAATACAAAAAAACAACACAGTGGGACACAAAATCAAATCTGATGGGAGTCTCTATAGACCAGCTTAATGGGGGTGTCTCCACCAACGAACTGAGGGTAGTCTTTATAGATGAGCTGAAGAATTTATTTATAAACGATCTCCAGGAGGTATTTATAGACGAGCTGAAGATCGACTTTCTTCACATATTGGAGGTCTTTTATAGATGAACTGCAGGATGTCTTTATGGACGCACGAAAGAGAGTATTTA